TAGAAAATTGAAAATTAATTAAAAATTGTCAAAAATTCAAAAACCCGACTTTCTTAAAATTCAACATTCTCTCTTCTCTTTTATGGCATAAAGCTTCACTATTTTTGTGCTTTTAAAAAATACTATACTTATTTGATAATCTCAATCCTTTGGTAGAAAATTGATAATGAATTAAAAATTATCAAAAATTCAAAAACCCGACTTTCTTAAAATTCAACATTCTCTCTTCTCTTTTATGGCATAAAGCTTCACTATTTTTGTGCTTTTAAAAAATACTATACTTATTTAATAATCTCAATCCTTTAGTAGAAAATTGAAAATTAATTAAAAATTGTCAAAAATTCAAAAACCCGACTTTCTTAAAATTCAACATTTTCTCTTCTCTTTTATGGCATAAAGCTTCACTATTTTTGTGCTTTTAAAAAATACTATACTTATTTAATAATGTCAAACCTTTGGTAAAAAATTGAAATCTATTCAAAATTATCAAAAATTCAAAAACCCGACTTTCTTAAAATTCAACATTCTCTCTTCTCTTTTATGGCTTAAAGCTTCACTATTTTTGTGCTTTTAAAAAATACTATACTTATTTAATAATGTCAAACCTTTGGTAAAAAATTGAAATCTATTCAAAATTATCAAAAATTCAAAAACCCGACTTTCTTAAAATTCAACATTCTCTCTTCTCTTTTATGGCTTAAAGCTTCACTATTTTTGTGCTTTTAAAAAATACTATACTTATTTAATAATCTCAATCCTTTGGTAGAAAATTGAAAATTAATTAAAAATTGTCAAAAATTCAAAAACCCGACTTTCTTAAAATTCAACATTTTCTCTTCTCTTTTATGGCATAAAGCTTCACTATTTTTGTGCTTTTAAAAAATACTATACTTATTTAATAATGTCAATCCTTTGGCAAAAAATTGAAATCTATTCAAAATTATCAAAAATTCAAAAACCCGACTTTCTTAAAATTCAACATTTTCTCTTCTCTTTTATGGCATAAAGCTTCACTATTTTTGTGCTTTTAAAAAATACTATACTTATTTAATAATCTCAATCCTTTAGTAGAAAATTGAAAATTAATTAAAAATTGTCAAAAATTCAAAAACCCGACTTTCTTAAAATTCAACATTTTCTCTTCTCTTTTATGGCATAAAGCTTCACTATTTTTGTGCTTTTAAAAAATACTATACTTATTTAATAATCTCAATCCTTTGGTAGAAAATTGAAAATTAATTAAAAATTGTCAAAAATTCAAAAACCCGACTTTCTTAAAATTCAACATTCTCTCTTCTCTTTTATGGCATAAAGCTTCACTATTTTTGTGCTTTTAAAAAATACTATACTTATTTAATAATCTCAATCCTTTAGTAGAAAATTGAAAATTAATTAAAAATTGTCAAAAATTCAAAAACCCGACTTTCTTAAAATTCAACATTTTCTCTTCTCTTTTATGGCATAAAGCTTCACTATTTTTGTGCTTTTAAAAAATACTATACTTATTTAATAATGTCAAACCTTTGGTAAAAAATTGAAATCTATTCAAAATTATCAAAAATTCAAAAACCCGACTTTCTTAAAATTCAACATTCTCTCTTCTCTTTTATGGCTTAAAGCTTCACTATTTTTGTGCTTTTAAAAAATACTATACTTATTTAATAATCTCAATCCTTTGGTAGAAAATTGAAAATTAATTAAAAATTGTCAAAAATTCAAAAACCCGACTTTCTTAAAATTCAACATTTTCTCTTCTCTTTTATGGCATAAAGCTTCACTATTTTTGTGCTTTTAAAAAATACTATACTTATTTAATAATCTCAATCCTTTGGTAGAAAATTGAAAATTAATTAAAAATTATCAGAAATTCAAAAACCCGACTTTCTTAAAATTCAACATTTTCTCTTCTCTTTTATGGCATAAAGCTTCACTATTTTTGTGCTTTTAAAAAATACTATACTTATTTAATAATGTCAATCCTTTGGCAAAAAATTGAAATCTATTCAAAATTATCAAAAATTCAAAAACCCGACTTTCTTAAAATTCAACATTCTCTCTTCTCTTTTATGGCTTAAAGCTTCACTATTTTTGTGCTTTTAAAAAATACTATACTTATTTAATAATCTCAATCCTTTGGTAGAAAATTGAAAATTAATTAAAAATTGTCAAAAATTCAAAAACCCGACTTTCTTAAAATTCAACATTTTCTCTTCTCTTTTATGGCATAAAGCTTCACTATTTTTGTGCTTTTAAAAAATACTATACTTATTTAATAATGTCAATCCTTTGGCAAAAAATTGAAATCTATTCAAAATTATCAAAAATTCAAAAACCCGACTTTCTTAAAATTCAACATTTTCTCTTCTCTTTTATGGCATAAAGCTTCACTATTTTTGTGCTTTTAAAAAATACTTTACTTATTTAATAATCTCAATCCTTTGGTAGAAAATTGAAAATTAATTAAAAATTATCAGAAATTCAAAAACCCGACTTTCTTAAAATTCAACATTTTCTCTTCTCTTTTATGGCATAAAGCTTCACTATTTTTGTGCTTTTAAAAAATACTATACTTATTTAATAATCTCAATCCTTTGGTAGAAAATTGAAAATTAATTAAAAATTATCAAAAAAGCAAAAACCCGACTTTCTTAAAATTTAACATTTTCTCTTCTCTTTTATGGCATAAAGCTTCACTATTTTTGTGCTTTTAAAAAATACTTTACTTATTTAATAATCTCAATCCTTTGGTAAAGAATTGAAAATTAATTAAAAATTATCAAAAATTCAAAAACCCGACTTTCTTAAAATTCAACATTTTCTCTTCTCTTTTATGGCATAAAGCTTCACTATTTTTGTGCTTTTAAAAAATACTTTACTTATTTAATAATCTCAATCCTTTGGTAAAGAATTGAAAATTAATTAAAAATTATCAAAAATTCAAAAACCCGACTTTCTTAAAATTCAACATTTTCTCTTCTCTTTTATGGCATAAAGCATCACTATTTTTGGGCTCTTAAAAAATAGTTTACTTATTTAATAATCTCAATCCTTTGGTAAAGAATTGAAATTTATTAAAAATTATCAAAAATTCAAAAACCCGACTTACTTAAAATTCAACATTTTCTGTTCTCTTTTATGCCATAAATCTTCACTATTTTTGTGCTTTTAAAAAATACTATACTTATTTAATAATCTCAATCCTTTGGTAGAAAATTGAAAATTAATTAAAAATTGTCAAAAATTCAAAAACCCGACTTTCTTAAAATTCAACATTTTCTCTTCTCTTTTATGGCATAAAGCTTCACTATTTTTGTGCTTTTAAAAAATACTTTACTTATTTAATAATCTCAATCCTTTGGTAGAAAATTGAAAATTAATTAAAAATTATCAGAAATTCAAAAACCCGACTTTCTTAAAATTCAACATTTTCTCTTCTCTTTTATGGCATAAAGCTTCACTATTTTTGTGCTTTTAAAAAATACTATACTTATTTAATAATCTCAATCCTTTGGTAGAAAATTGAAAATTAATTAAAAATTATCAAAAAAGCAAAAACCCGACTTTCTTAAAATTTAACATTTTCTCTTCTCTTTTATGGCATAAAGCTTCACTATTTTTGTGCTTTTAAAAAATACTTTACTTATTTAATAATCTCAATCCTTTGGTAAAGAATTGAAAATTAATTAAAAATTATCAAAAATTCAAAAACCCGACTTTCTTAAAATTCAACATTTTCTCTTCTCTTTTATGGCATAAAGCTTCACTATTTTTGTGCTTTTAAAAAATACTTTACTTATTTAATAATCTCAATCCTTTGGTAAAGAATTGAAAATTAATTAAAAATTATCAAAAATTCAAAAACCCGACTTTCTTAAAATTCAACATTTTCTCTTCTCTTTTATGGCATAAAGCATCACTATTTTTGGGCTCTTAAAAAATAGTTTACTTATTTAATAATCTCAATCCTTTGGTAAAGAATTGAAATTTATTAAAAATTATCAAAAATTCAAAAACCCGACTTACTTAAAATTCAACATTTTCTGTTCTCTTTTATGCCATAAATCTTCACTATTTTTGTGCTTTTAAAAAATACTATACTTATTTAATAATCTCAATCCTTTGTTAGAAAATTGAAAATTAATTAAAAATTATCAAAAATTCAAAAACCCGACTTTCTTAAAATTCAACATTCTCTCTTCTCTTTTATGGCATAAAGCTTCACTATTTTTGTGCTTTTAAAAAATACTATACTTTTTTAATAATCTCAACCCTTTGGTAAAAAATTGAAATTTATTCAAAATTATCAAAAATTCAAAAACCCGACTTTCTTAAAATTCAACATTTTCTCTTCTCTTTTATGGCATAAAGCTTCACTATTTTTGTGCTTTTAAAAAATACTATACTTATTTAATAATCTCAATCCTTTGGTAAAGAATTGAAAATTAATTAAAAATTATCAAAAATTCAACAACCCGACTTTCTTAAAATTCAACATTTTCTCTTCTCTTTTATGGCATAAAGCTTCACTATTTTTGGGCTCTTAAAAAATACTTTACTTATTTAATAATCTCAACCGTTTGGTAAAAAATTTAAATTTATTAAATTCATAATTTATAAAAATGTAAAAAAAAGTCTAACTCAAAAATAAAGTTTGACAAATATTGAAAACTCACTTTCTTAAATTTATTTTAATGAATATTATTCGACTTTTTGGAACAAAAGTATATTTTATGGGCTTAAAAAGTTTCCATTAACTTAATGAAAGCAAACTAAAGTTCATTAAATTTTGAAAAATTATTAATGATATTTTTTACTAATGTTTAATAATGTTAAATTTTTTTCCTAACGTTCACACACAAAGATTGTACTCATGGTTGTAAAAATTGAACGATATTTTCAATATCTAAATTTAATACTTGCTTTATGCCTCAAAAAAAGACTGTCTTTTTACTGTGTTGCAAAAGTAAAGTGTTTATTTTCAATAATATTAAAAGACTTACAGTTTTATTTTCCCTCGTTGCAAGAAGATCTGCGTTGAAGAGACTGGATTTTTTTTAGAAGAACTTGAATTGTACAGGAAAATATTTTTTCCGAATCCTTTCGTAAATTTTAATAACTGTTGATTTATCAAGCAAGCTGACAGTATAAGGAGTCAAGGCCCTTGTCTGGAAATGGATCTTTTTTCAGATGCCACCTGCAATTAATAAGAAATTTTTAAATTAAATTGTCGCCAAATCCCGATTATTATCGAAAGTTAGGCACAAAAAACAGAAAAAATAGCATTTTATCCAAAAAAAAGTGGTATTTTTTTTTTAAATTTATGAAAGAAAAGTTGAAATAGTCGCATATTTTTGTAAAATAAGTTAAGAAAGTCGCATTATCTAAGATCTGTCTAAAGTACACTTTTAAAAACCAATATTTTCAATTTCAATTAAATTAATAATATTGAAAAAAAGAAAAATATAATTGTAATAAAGTTCTAATTGCATGAAGAAAGACCATTACTTGATGGAATTGATCTCTCTGAAATAAAAGAGTTTACAGAGTAATAAAGTATTATCGACAATTGTAAAATTGCTGTCGAAGAAAGAAAAGCAGCGAGATCGTTTCAGAGGTTGGAAAAGAAAGAGTTACAGTGGTTTCAAGTGCAAGAACCGTTAAAGAGAAATGGTAAGGAAACTTTTAGTGGGGAAAAGGGATACACATTGGGATCGAAGATAGGCTTCGAACCATATAGATCATGGACCTTTTATCGGATCCATCTTCTTATCTGTTTCAGACTCCAATGATCTTAGAGTAAAAAGGAAAGCAATCGACTAGGGTTTTTCCGGATTTTTCGCTTTTCAAGATATATATACAGGGTGCTATCTCAAACGAACTGGCAAGAATGGTTTCTCTATACACTGTACAACATTATAGCCTCTGTCTTTTATTGACAAATACTTCAACTCTTTTTTCATAAAGCAACAAAATTTTTTTCTCTCCCCCCATAAATCAAACTTTCACAAATTTAATAACTATTTCTCTACAAAAAAAAAAAAAAAAAAATCTACATCCTTCTCATGTGACTAATTTTCGTTAAAAGAAAACTTTTGATCCTGGATTTAGTTTGCCGTTGGGAAATCTACTTTTGAAAGTGCCAGAAAAGAGTTTGAAAAATGATAGATTAATGAAAAACAAAAAAAAAAAAATTTCCTATTCCCATTTTTCCTTCATTCGAGATGATAAATTTTTCATTTTATTTAAAAAAATATTTACAACTTTTATTTTAGATTAAAAATAATATTATTAACGCTAACAATTACTTTAAGTGAAGATGGTGAAAATCTTTTCTGGCAAGTAACATGTAAAGTACAATTCATGAAATTAGTTACAAAACTAATTTACATATATCGCACAAGCAACAGATAGAAACTTGAACAAATATTTGAAACATTTGTGGAATATTCAGAGTTACCGAATACACTTTGTAGATTGTTGTGCAAGTATAACTTTTCAATATATGCAGAAGAAGAAAATTTCCTACCAAACATCTAGAAGAGAGTGACGTTCACGTCAAACTCAGTGGTGCCTTCAAAAAAGAAAAAGACTTAGATGTAGGGGGAGATTCACCAAATATAGTTCATCTATATATTATATATTTTATAATATACATATATATGTGTATGTACATAATATACAACCATAAATTACGTAGCTGTCAAAAAGATTGCACAACAAGTAAAATTTATTCATGGATTATCGCAAGACTCCAGCACGTACGCATTCTACCCTTTTAAAAACGACCGAAGATTAAAAGGTTGACTATAATTTAAACCACCTATCGCTTGACGTTTCAAAAAATGAACAACGTTTATAAAAAATACATTTACATTTAACTAGATTCGCGTATAGTTCGGCGAATACTTTTGAAAGGATGAAAGGTAAAGAAAGAGAGAGAGAGAGAAAAAAATATAGGAAGAGACTTGTCAATCGACTAACCTTAAGTAGGATCCTGAAATGTCCTGGAACGACCTCATTACTCTCATAGTTTTGAAACTGAAAAAATGACAAACAATGATTAATATTTTTAGCTATTAAACATTTCATCTAATTTACAAATATTACTCTGAAAAAAATTATTTGATTCAAATAACCAATTACTTGTGTATTACCAAATAAATATTTACTTGAATTAACAAATTTTTATGTAAATCAAATAAATTTGTACCAATAATTATTTTATTAAATCATTTAATTAAAGAATTTAATTAAATAATTTTAGTATTTGAAGCAAATGCCATTTAATTAAAAATTATTTGATTCAAGAAAATATTTATTTGATAATCGACAAGTAATCCTTTATTTTAACCAAATAAATATTTTTTTCTGTGTAAAATACTATTATTAAAATTAAAAGATTACGAACTGTATTGTATTTGTAATATTTTACTTTTAATAATAATATTTTACACAGAAAACAAAATTTATTTAGTTAAAATAACGGATTCCTTGTCGATTATAAAAGAACCATTTTCTTGAATCAAATAATTTAATAATAAAATTCTATTATTCAGAAAATTTCATTATTAAATTAAATAATTAATTAATTTAAATTATTTGGAAAATTCTATAATTTTTAGTTAATTTAATACAATTAATTTCAATGTATTGTAAAATTCAAGGTTTTACTTTGATTAATTACCAATTATTAAAGAAAAATTCTTTCAAAATTTGATTTCATTTATATCTCTAATTAAATTCTTTAACAAATTCAATTATTTTCAATTCAATCTCACAAATTAAAATTTATTTGACAATTCTTTAATAAAATGTTTATTTAAAATTTAAGCATCTAGGAAAATTTGAATTAAAATTTCACAGGTTGCCACAAAAATTTAATTTTGTTTTTTCCTTGACTTTTCCCTGATTTCCAGACAAAATTTTGACTTTTTCTCTCACCTTAAAGAATATTCTGATTCACTATAAAAATTATTAGATACTCGAAAAAATGTTTTTTTACATTTATTTAGAAATTTCTTTAAATTTTTTTTTCATAGGAATTAAATTTTCAATTTAAATTTTCTTCATGTTTTATAAGAATTAATTTTTAATTTTAATTAATTTTTAATTTTAAATCAATTTTTATTAGAAAATTTAACGAGAAATCAATTATTTATTAAGAAAAATAAATAATTTATTGAATAATTGAATGTTTCTCAAAATTGAATTCTCATAGAGAATTTTATCAACAAATTTTTAAATAATTGTATTCGGTCGACGAATTTTAATAAAATTTTAAAGAATAATTACATTTTTCGAGGAATTCGATTAAAATTGCAGTAAGTTTAATTAAAAATTGACTAACCTGTCGCAGAAAACTGACGTGAGCTATGGATTTTGACGTATATCTTTTTAACGATTTACTTCCTGCGTAATTCCTTATTGTTAAACTGCTTTCCCGGAAGTAAGAACCATTCTGCTTATTTTTTCCCTCTCGGGTTTCTGAATCTGACAAAATTTCAAAATAGTAATTACTAAAGTTCACAGAGACAATAGCAAACTATACATTTTGCTCACAAATTATTTCGAAATAAAGCACAAATAATATGTTATTCATACTTTATTTCAAAAGTCTGTTGATATCACTTTATGAATTAGTGGGAACAATTTTGCGACAGTTAACAAACGAATATTTCTATAAATATTTTGTTGAAATTGATTAAATTAATATTAATATCATTCATTTCAAGCTTTCGCAGTTTGTTTTTTAAATTGACTCTTGATAGCATGTTTATGTGAAGATCAATGATTTAATAATGTATACACCAATTGAAATGTCATTTTAACATTAATTATTAGTTGGTGATTGGCATAATTAACACAAATGGAGAGTTAAATTATTGTATGTTTTATCGAAAGTTACCTCATGTATACAAACATTCAACAATTAAAAAATTAAATAATAATTAGCATGCTTAGAGAAAAGAATATCAAAGTTTGTAAAAAAAAATGTCTTACCAATTTTGATTTACAGATTAAATCCTAATTCTTCCTCACGGTAAACTTCCTTATTAGTTTTCTCCCAAATACGAAATCTTTCTTCATTTTTGTATTTTTCAGTCTAAAACAAAGTTGGAAAAATGTTAACATACATACAGCAGTAAAAATCAAAACAATACTTTTGTTACAAATAGCAACGCAAAATATAAAAAAAAAAAAAAAAATAAGAAATAAAATAAAATTACCCCAGCAGTTGAAATTGCAGACTCTGTCAACATTTTGACAAGAAAAATCAACAAAAATCGTATAAAATCGATTCATAAAATTGTTCGTCTTTTACGTATGTTACGATTGTTTTAGCTTCTTCTTTAATATCAAAAAGGGAATGAAAATTACGCCTCATTTCCTCACTCTCGAGTTCATGAATCTGAAAAAATAACAAAAGATTATTTATCATTTTATAAACTCATTAAATGTTTCATTAAAAATTTCGCACATTTTAACTTGAGAATAATTCTTAACAAGAGATCCAATTATTTAATTAGATTATTCAGGTATTATAATATTAATTTCATTTTGCAATATAAAAAGCTGATATCGTTTGCCTTTATGCACTAACGAACTTCATTACGCAAGGATCCACATAGTATGAGATAAGCGTGCATCATGGCTAATTACAATCTCAATTAAACTTAATGACACACTTGAAAATTAGAGGAAAAGAGAAAGAGAGACTAAGAAGAGTATTTAAAGTATGCAATTTTCTCAGACAGGGCCAGTACCACAAGTGCGTTGGAAGACCTGAGTTGCTCGTTATCTCATGATAGGAGGCTCAGACAAACAGGCTCATTTGTCACGCTGACCTCTTAGCGACCCCATCTCATCCCCCATCCAAACTGTCAACCTGTCCTCAGGTGGCTCTTGAAACTTGCAGTGGAACAAACATGTACATATCTCTCACATACACAATAATACAATTTCAGTTGAAAAATGTTTCGTTTCATTTCGTCTAATTCTAAAAAATTCATATTACTGTTTAAAACAACTAAATTATGAGATCAGCTCTAATTTTTATCACTTTATTTTGTGATTAATAAAATTAGATTAATAACAAAATTAGACAATTAATAAAGCGTTGCCACAAAAAATTTGTTTCTGTTTTTCGCTGATTTCCAGATTGAATTTTTACTTTTTTCCTGATTCTAAACTATTACCAGAACAATTCCAATTAATATTCAAAATTAATTTAGGTCATCAAAATTAATTTAATTCACAATTCATAAAAAGTAACCACAGCCGATAATCAGCAGAAGATGAAAAATTATTTTTTCATCAATCTTTATCTTTTGTTTACTAACAATTGTTAGTCAAAAAAATTTTTACTGATCCTTAACAATAGCTAGAATCAACTCATTTACAATTCAACTTTACGAAATTTCAATTATTCGAAAATTTTTTACTTAAATATATTCAAAAATTCAACAAATTTCAAAAAAATTTGAATAAAAACAGGGCTGCCACGAAAATTTAATTTTGTTTTTCCTTGACTTTTTCCTGATTTCCAGACAAAATTTTGACTTTCTCCATGACCCTGAAGAATATACCGATTCACTCCAAAAATTATTAGATACTCAAAGAAATGTTCTTTTACATTTATATTTACGAATTTCTTTAAGTGTAAAATTATTCTACAACATCAATAACTTCTTTTTAAATAAATACTCAATCATTATTATTTCTCAATAGGAATCCTTAGATTTCAAATCCAAACCTTCTGAAATTAAACAACTTATAAAAAATTATTATAAAACATCGGAGTAATCGATTTCTCCATGTTTTATAATAAATTTAAAATGACAAAGTGATAAAATCATTATTTTAAATTATAAGAATATTGCAACTATGAATTCAAATTTTTGAAGTTTTTAATTTTTGAACCCTTTTTAAAATTCACTTATTTATAAAAATTCACGCTATGATGCTTTTAATATTCATTTAAAATTTTAAATTTTAAGTGAATTTAATTTTTAATCACTTTTTATTACAAAATTTTTCGAGAATTCAATTATTTAAATACAAAGATAAATAATGTATTAAATAATTTAATAATTCTTAAAATTGAATTTTTTTAAAAAAATTTTTCAAAAATTTTAAAAATAATTGAATTTTTTCGGCGAATTTTAAAAAAACTATAAAGAATAAATGCAATTTTCTATCATTTTATGTAAAATTGTACATAAAAAATAATTTAAACTCTGCTATAAATATTATCATTTAAAAAAGTAATTTGATTCTTGCAACGAATTTTATTAAACAAATTTTTTAAGAATAGTATTCCTTTGAAGAATTTCATTTGTGAAAATAATTGAATTCCGGAGAAAAATATTATTATTTATGATATTAATTGAAGAATTTTATTCAAATTTTTTAAATAATTGAATCTCTCAGAATTTTTTATAACAATTTGAAAATAATTAAATTCCATCGACAAAATTTCATTAAAAAATTGAAAATAATTGAAATCTGACGAAGACTTTTATTTAAATTTTTTCCAAATAATTGAATTCCCATAAAAAAATGTATTATTTGTGAAAATAATTGAATTCTTAAAAAGAATTGTATTGAAAATAATTGAATTGAATAGGAAAATTTTATTAAAATTGTCATTTTATTAACTAAATCTTGTAAAGAATTTAGTCAAAATATTTTTTAATTATAGAAATTTTTAAAGAATTTTATTTAAATTTTTCCAAATGATTGAATCTCTCAGAACTATTTTTTTCTATTCTTTGAATATATTTGAATTCTTTTGATAAACTTCATTACAAAATTTAAAATAATTGAATTGATGCAAAGAAATTTATAAAAAATTGAAAAGTAATTCAATTCCTGTGAAATTTTTATTAAAATTTCATTTAAATAATTGAATTCTTTTAGAAAATTTGATTAAAATTTTTGATATTAAGAATAATTAAAATGACGAAAATTTTTGAAAATAATTGAAATTTTGTCAAGAATTTTATTAAAATTTTTTGAAAATAATTGAATTTCGGAGAAGAATTGTATGATTTATAAAAATAATTGAAACTTTGACGAGAATGTTTATAAATTTTTGAAAATAATTGAATTTCTGTAATTAGTTGTTCTTAAAATTTTTATTTAAATTCATTAAAAATTGAAATTTTTATAAATTTTTTATATTGAAGCCTTTGAAGTTCATCTATTTATGCAGATTTTAAATGCAACTCTTTTGAAATCTAATTAATTTTGGAAATTTTTAAGTCAAATTATTCATTAAATAATTTCTAAGTAATAATTTAATGATAGTTCTTGAAGAATTAAGTTACTTAAAAAGAAATTATTGTCAGAAACAGAAAAAATTGAAAGTTTTGTATTAAAATTCTTGTCAATTTCATAGTTTGTGAGGAAAACAAAAAAGACACCAAAATTCAGAATTTTCTTATAAATTCTAAAACTTAAATTTTTTCCAGTAGTTTTAATAAAAATCCCTGACTTTTCCCTGATTTCCCTGACTTTTCCCTGAATTCCCTGACTTGTGGCAACCCTGAAAAAGTTTTCAAAAATTAACTTTTTTAGAATTTTTAATTACAATTATTGTCAGAAATAGAAAAAACTTAATGTTTATTTATTAAAAATGGTCGTAATTTTAAAGTTAATAAGACAAAAAAAAGTAATTTAAAAAGAAATGAATCTTAATATTTTTAATGGTTGTTGAACACCAAACGTCAGAATTTTCTTATGAATTTAAAAAAAATAATTTTCCACTACTTTTTATGAAGTTTTTCTGACTATTTCCTGATTTCCCTAACAATTTTTATTTTCACTGACTTTTTCCTAAATTCCCTGATTTATAGCAACCTTGTAATAAAATATTAACATGGATATCAAGATTTCACTCCGAAAATTCTTTTCCAAGAAAAATCAGATTTTAAAATTGTGTATTTTGTATAGTTTTTTTTTCTTGCAACATGAAAAAATTTACTATACACACAGGCAATATATATATGTTACAAGTTTACGATGAAAGTGTGCTTTCAGTTTTGTTCCAAGATCGAAGGGAAGCCTATAAAATAGTCCTTTAAATTGCTGTTTCTCAAGAAGATGAGAACGCAACTTTATGGTTGACTACTTTTCTAAGTCATCCTAACGTTGCAAAAGACACATCAGTAGTGAATCAAAGGAAGATTATTTTATATACGTTCAACCTGCGGATCATTTTTCCGATAAACAGCTTTTTGTCTACTTCAAATTGATAAATTGATATTGATAATAATCAATCAGTAATAAAAAAAACCAAAGTAAAATTATTAAAAAAATTTAACGATAATTTTCCCGTTTGATCGAATTTACAACGTAGAGAAATATTTACGAATGAAAATATTAATACTTACAATAAAGAAATACTTTCCAAATAACAGCTGTAAAATTTCTGGTTGAAACTTCTGTTTGAATGTGGATTTGAATCTTTTTATGGGCCACGAGTGTCCAACCTGCTGTTTATTCGCATCCTTCGCATCTGCAATCAAAATAACTTTCAGTATACTTGTCGATAAACCAATTAGTAATAAAAACTTAAATCTACCCGAATTCAATATTCACATTGAAATTAAGATTAAAAGAATTTTTCGCCTGAATGCAAATATTATTATATTCATAATTTGCGGTTGATTAAGTAGTTTAAAAAATTCTCCACTAAAGTTCATGTACAGAGGTGAATTGTACATTGTTCCTTTCCAAGAAATGAACTGAATTACGCGAAAAAGCTTTGAAAAGCTTTTATGAGAAAATTCGTTTGTCGATTAAGGTCCTTCTAGCTTGGTCGTGGAAATCAGACCACGTGACCAAAGTGCTTTTCATCGTTGCAGCTATACTATACTTCACCTTAATTATCCCCTTCTCCCGAAACCCTTAACTAGAGTCTCACCACTGAAATCTTATACCAAAGGGTCTCAGTTTTCCTATTATATATTAATTTAAATTTCAATTTATAACGAACTAATCATTTAACACAAACACGGTGTATTATATTCCTTGAAAAAAAATAACTCCAATATTCATATTTTTATTTAAAATTTTTGATAATGGTAATATTAAAGTAAAACTTTACTGAAAGAATTTTTTCAGAAATATTTCAGAAATTATTCACTACACCTACTTGAATAAATTTATAACACATCTCTTTGTTAAAATAACATACGGTGTCTTGTAAAACAATTCAAAAGGCATTACGACAAGTTTATATTAAGCTACACCAGAGTCTGAGTGGAATATGATCATCAATTATTTAAACCTTGATGCACGAAGCTTGAAACCTCCAAGGATTTAATACTATCTACAACTCTAGAACGAAGCAATTTTCCTAGGAATTTATATATCTCTTTTAAGATTAGAAAATTAGAATTTTAAAGAAGAGAATGTTTCATGAAATGCAAAAAGCGTTGAGAAAGCTATCAAAATTTGTTTGATTTAAAAAAGTGCTCAAAAAAATTAAATCACTTAAACTTTTGTCCGAATGGGATTTTCCTATTAATAATGTGAATAATTCTCCTCTTTCCAAAAAGCACAATATGAAGTTTACAAGTGTTATTCAAAATTGATTATTACGGTATGCTTTCGACTCGAAAGTTAGTAATCAACAACAAAAGTAACGCAATTAGAGTAATGGTGTTGAAAAGCTTATACCTGTCAATTTTCCAATACGATGTTAACTGTATTTCTTCAAAAAAGCAATTACTGCTTCCTGCCATGGACATTTGTAATTGACATTTGAACATCTGGAACAAAAAAATAGAGTTAAAAGAATGTTACATTCAAAATGTTAATACTTTTAATTTTATCTTCTCTCATTCAATCATACGTTTACGAAAAATAACTTTTCAATGTCGACGAATTCAATTACTTTAAACAATAAAATTTTAATAAAATTCCTTAAAATAATAAAAATGTTTTCAAAGTTTTACTAAAATTCAATATACAAATTAAATTATTTTCTTATACAATTTTAATTAGATTTCTCAAAAAGAATAAATAGTTTAAAAAATGTTTCTAAAATTTTTTCGAAAGAATTCAATTATTTTCAAAAATTGTAATAAAATTCTTAGGAGAATTCACTTGTTTCCTTAAAATTGTAATAAAATTTAATAATAAAATTTTAAATTACAATTATTAACAAAGACAATTATTAATAATGCTTAGAAAGAATTCAAATATTTTTTAATAATTTGCATAAAATTCTTTATAAGAATTCAATTATTTTCAATACAATTTTAATAACATTTATCGATAGAATTCAATTATTTTTTTAAACAAGAAAATTCTTCACATGAATTCAATTATATTCATAAATAATAAAATTCTTCACAGGTATTCAATTATTTTCAATTCAATTTTCAAAAAAATTGCTGAGTGGAATTCAATTATTTTAATAAATTTTAATAAAATTCTTGTAAGGAATTAAAATACTTTTAATAATTTTCATAAAATTCTTTATATAAGAATTCATATATATTTTCAATACAATAACTTTAATGAAATTTCTCCAACGAATTCAATTATTTTCATAAATTTTAATAAACTTCTTCAAAAGAAATCTGTTATTTTTATAAATAAAAAATTCTTCACAGGAATTCAATTATTTTCAATTCAATTTATAAAAAAAAATTGCTGAGTAGAATTCAATTATTTTAATAAATTTCTTGGAAGGAATTGAAATATTTTTAATATTTTTCATATTTTTCATACAATTATTTATAAGAATTCAATTATTTTAATAAATTTTAATAAAATTCTTGAAAGGAATTGAAATATTTTTAATAATTTTCATAAAATTCTTTATATAAGAATTCAATTATTTTCATAAATTTTAATAAACTTCTTCAAAAGAAATCTATTATTTTTATAAATAATAAAATTCTTCACAGGAATTCAATTTTAAAAAAAAATTGCTGAGTAGAATTCAATTATTTTAATAAATTTCTTGGAAGGAATTGAAATATTTTAAATATTTTACATAAAATTCTTTATAAGAATTCAATTATTTTCAATACAATTTTAATGAAATTTCCCCAACGAATTCAATTATTTTCATAAATTTTAATAAACTTCTACAAAAGAAATCTATTATTTCTATAAACAATAAAATTCTTCACAGGAATGCAATTATTTTCAATTCAATTTTAAAAAAAAAGTTCAGAGTAGAATTCAATTATTTTAATAAATTTCTTGGAAGGAATTGAAATATTTTAAATATTTTACATAAAATTCAATTATTTTCAATTCAATTTAAAAAAAAAAATTACTAATTAGAATTCAATTATTTTAATAACTTTCTTGGAAGGAATTGAAATATTTTTCATAAAATTCTTTATAAGAATTCAATTATTTTCAATACAATTTTAATGAAATTTCCCCAACGAATTCAATTATTTTCATAAATTTTATTAAACTTTTTCAAGAGAAATCTATTATTTTTATAAATAATAAATTATGGACAAAATTATGGAAAATGAATTAAAATTTACTTTACTTTTCATTAAAAAAATGAATTTTTCTTCAATAATTTGTAATTAACTATTTTTATGTTTTACAATGTTAAATTTAATTTACAAATTAAATTATGAATTTTAATTCAAAACAATTTCATTTCATTAATTTTTGTTATTAATTAATCTTCAAAACATTAAATTAGAATATTATATTAATTTTAATGTTCGAAATTCTAAAAATAAAAATTATTCAAAAATTTAGCAATCAAAAATGCAAAAAAAAAACAACTAAATTTAAACTGCGAATATTCATTCGGAATACAGAGAATATTAATATAGATTATTTATTATTTATTATCTATTTAATATTGTTTTTTTAATTTTTTGTTTACTAGCTCAGTTTATAGAAAACAAAATAGAATCTACATGACGCCAACAAACCTACTCTATATCTAAACTCACAAAATAATTTTTCACCCAGAAATAAACAAAAAAAAAAAAAAAATTATGTTTAATTTCATTAAATACACCTAGAAATGAAATTACAACATTTTAATAACTTTATAATATTTAATAAAAAGCGTCCCAAAACTTATTCATGAATATTTTATAAAACTGAAAATTATGCCCGGGACCATGTAAAATGTTGAGTTCTCATTATAAAGTCTGACCAAACTTGTCCATAACTACTGTGCGTCGACAATGATGCAACAACCCTTGGAGAAGCATAATTCGCTTCTGGGACGAATTTTCAACCAGTTCACACATGACGTATATCCCAGTATCCACATGCAGTGAAATGCAAACATAAACTTCGTTTATGCGACTATAAATACGTAACTGCGGTGGAAACACTCGATTCTATTGGTTCGCTGAATTTAGTACCTTTGATTATATAGAAAGCTGTTTGCGCAAATCATATTTTTACAACAATATAGATTTTTTCATTTTTATAAAATTAAAAACTTCGTCCCCAACAAATTATTTTAGTATCGCGTCATATTAAATTTACAAATATATATTAATTCTGACAAATTTTCCCTAAAATATCCTTCTATAAATAAAATATGAAAACCTATAATAAGAAAAAAAAAATTGACTACAATTTCAAAAGAGAAAATAAAAATTGCTCAACAATTTTAACAAGTATTAGTACAATATATAACAGTTTGTCTTGTACATTCTTTCAGTATATGTAATTCCCTTCTCTCGAAACTTCAGCGAAGCTAAGTATTTTTAAAACTTCATTCCGAGAGAAGTAACCTTTCTATAGTTACTTCTTGAAAGAGCTTTAACTTTCAAGAACGTGGAACGTGGAGTGCGAATTAAATTTCTTTCTAAAATTGAATCATGAACGTCCTTCTTTCCCACAGGCGAAGAAAGTCCTGAGTCGTTACAAGGTTTCTACTATATAAGGTAGGAAAAGATCAAAAAGTGATTTACCGTCACGGGTGTTTATAACGCGTGCAAAAAAAAAAAGAGAGAAGAAAAAAAAAGTTGCGAACAAAAATGAAACGAGAATATATACCCGAAAACATGAATATAAAAACCCAACAGAAAAATAATTCAAATGAATCGTAAAAGAAAAATACTTTTTTCCACTCTCTTTTCATTAAAATATTATTTCAGTTTCACAATGGAACCATGAAATTCAATAGAATAAACAAAAGTTTATTACTATAAACGTAAATTAATTGACGTTAATTAAAAAGTTTGATAAAATATAACAAAAAAAAAATTGATTAAACTTTTCTGATGAATAACAGTTCGCAATTAAACATTTTTTTTGTTCTTTGCAATATATTCTGAATTTGTAAAAATTTTCTGCAATAGTAGAATTTTGTGGCAATTTTCCGAATTCTGCTGTTAATAAACAAAAGCTCAAAAACTTTATACACCCTTTCCCAAAGAAGCTATTAATTATTTAAACTCTTATCAAGAATTATTTTAAGATAATTTTCTTCTATAAAATAATGAAATGAAATTGTTTAATTTCTGAATCGACTGATACGTGAATCGACAAAAAAAAAAAAAAAAAAATTAAATATTAAAACAATGTCTAGATGCACAGAAATACTTACAAGGCCAATTCTTCAAGGAAGATAGAAAAATATTCCACTTTTCGATAAAGAAACATAGGGAATTGTTTAAAAAGTAAAAATTATTCATCTTCTGTGTAATGATTGTTCCAGCGGCTTCTTTACTGATAGAATTCAATCTCATCCTGCGCATCGTTAATGTTGAGCAATAAAAATCCATGTAATTCGAAAATTAATTTGACGAATTTCCCATGCAACTCAATTCCTGGTTATCTCCTGGTTATCAGAATTATTTTGACACATTTTTTTACTCTCGGATTCTTGAATCTGAAAAAATTTCAAAATATATTAGTATTTTAGTGTCATTTTAAAGTAACGAAAAATCATTAAGCATTTAAGGTGCTCAAAGAGTACACATTTAAAAACAAACAAACAAACAATTATTTCTATAAATTATAAAATTGTGCGCAGGAATTTAATTTTTTCACAAAAATATAAAATTCTTCACAAGAATTCAAATATTTCTATAAATAATATAATTCTTTGTCAGAATTTAATTATTTTCAATAGAATTTTAATAAAATTCCTAAAAAAAATTCCTTTATTTTTAAAATTTTTTATAAAATTTGTTGAAAGAATTCAATTATTTTTCAAAATTCTGATAAAATCCTTTATAAAAATTCAATTATTTTCAACAGAATTTTAATTCAATTTCTCGATAAATTTTAATTCTGTTCGAAACAATTAATTGAATTTCAAGAATTTTAATAAAATTCTATGCAGGAATTCAATTATTTTCAAAAATAATAAACTTGTTTAGAGGAATTGAATTATTTCCAATACAATTTGAATAAAATTTCTTCATCGAATTGAAATATTTTTAAAAATTGTAATAAAATTTCTTGAATGAATTAATTTTTTCTTAGAATTTTATGGACAATTTCTTTCAAGTTTTTAAAACCATCATCTTTGTCATAATTGAAATTAAACAGTTAATTATTAAATTCTATTAAAGTTCAGAAAATTGAATTCTTTTAAAATTTTTTTTAACGAATTAAGAAAATAATTGAATTTTTTCTTGAAATTTTTTTGAAAATAATTGAATTTTTGCAAAGAATTTGTATACAAATATAATTGAATTTTTTCGAAGAATTTTTAAAAATTTTAGAAAATAATTGAATTCTATTGAAATTTTTATAACGAATTAAAAAAAAATGAAATTCTTCGGTGAAATAGTTTTGAATAAAATTGAATTTTTGCAAAGAATTTTAGTATTTATAAACATAATTGAATTATTTCGAAGGATTTATTAAAACTTTATAAAATAATTGAATTTTTTCGAAGAATGTTATTATTTATGAAAATAATTGAATTCTTGCGAAGAATTTTATTAAAATTTTTGAAATTAATAAACAAGAATAATTAATTAGTAAATTAGTTAATAATTGAATTTTTTTAAAGTTTGAATCAGAAATTATTCAAAAGTTCATATTTGAAAATAAAATTTTTGGAAAGAATTCTATTATTTTCAATACAGAATTTTTCACAATAATTTAATAAATTTTAATGAATTTCTGTGAACTTTAATTATTATTGTTAAAGAATTATAAAAACAATTCAAGGTTTTGTATTAAAATTAGTATTATTGTTAGAGAAAAATTAAAAAAGCATTAATTATTTTTAGTATTTTCAAATCTGCTAATTAATCATTAATTTTAGGGGCGTTATATTCTTCACGACGGCAAAGTTTTATTTAATAATTTTCTCCTAAAATCGAATCTGGTAAACTCTAACCCCTTTCTTCATTTTTGTACTTTTCAATCTGCAAAAAATTTGAAAAATATATAAACTTGCAACTGCAACAAAAATAAATACGATACTTTTGTCTTACAAAAAAAAAAAAAACAAAGTGTAAAATATAATGACGAAAAAATGCATTAATAAAAATAATAATAATAAACTGTTAAACGTGTATGCAAACTAAAGAAGTTTATTAAACTAAAACCTCGCTCGTTTTTTCTCTCTCTTTCTCAACTTTTTTAGATATAAAAAGAAGAGAATAATATTAGCATATCTTCGGGCTCATGATAGAGCACGTCTTCTATCGTCCAAGAGCAGTTAAAAGATTGATGGAATTTTCGAAGCAGTCGAGATCTCGCACGTTTCTCTCTTGACTTCTTTCAACCTTAACTCTAAAGTCGCGCGCGCGGAGATTGAAACAAATCGTTAGAAGAAACTTCCAATAAATCGGACAGCTGTTATATTGAACGCTATGACGTTGACTCGGAAATTCTCAGACACATACGACTGTTGAAGAGAAAAAAAAAAGGAAAATTGACCTTTTTCTCACCTTCACGTCCACATAGACACGCAGAATTCACTCTTTCACGAAATCAAATCGACAAGAACATGCAGCATCAAAATTTCACCGCGCGGTAAATGCAGTCGCAGAATGTAAAGTTTATTGACGAGAGAAAAATACTTACTATATATTTTGTAAAACATGGAAGTTACTTAAATAAAGGAAACGATTTTGTAAACATTACCTTTCTTTCTCTCAAACTTCTTATTGCGTAATGCGCTCCGAAAAATTATAAGTATAAAACTTTTTAGGTTATGTTCGTAATTTTCGGAATGAAAATACACAAAGGGGATCAACTCTCTAATATAAATTACAGGTCCTCAGGTCTTCATTCCTTCGGAAATAATTAATAAAAACTGAGTTTTGTTTTAAATTGGACACATAAACTTTAAATACAAGCAAAACAACCCGGTGACATTTGCACCTTGCCCTTGCCATAGCAAAAACTACACTGAGAGTTGATACGTTGTCCACCGATGGCGCCAGCAGTGCATCAATTCTAGGCGGGAATTTCAAAAAATATATTTATTTTTTATTTTATTTGTTATTTTTTGTATATTTATTTAGAAATTTTATCTATTATTTTACAAATATTAATAACAGTATATTAAAATATTGTAAATAAATTATAAATAATTATGCAAATTTTGTTTTCTTTTTAATTTCCGCCTGTGCATAGCTGGCGCCATCGGTGGCGACTGGGGCGAAATAAAAAGGGCAATAATGGCAAAAAGGGCCAAAATAAAATAACACAAACATAACCTTAAAATAACAGCAGTTAGAATTTAGAAATTTAGAATCGTTAGAATAAATACCTTTTCTCGGAGTGCCGAGTGCGTGAAAAATATTTTCTTTTGTGTTGAGAATGTATAAAAAATATAGATAATTTTTTATTGAAGTAGAAATACACCCTTATTTATGACAGACGAAAGGAATGAATAGAAATTCGTGGAAGTAAAATTTCAGATATGGTTTAGAAATAAAAAGAATGGGAGATGATGGCAAAAGAGCATTTTTAAAATTATTACCCATCGTCCAGAAGAAATTATGAGAAACTAGAGCCTCATTTCTCAGTCTCTCTTTCTCAAAACACTCGAATGATGAAGTACCTACTACACTCTTTTCCTACATCCTTTGGTCTTCCCTCGACCATACCACTCCTACTGGGCCACATGCCATCGTTATTTTCTCTGCTTCTACTACTACTACTAGCACCACTACTTCTATACCACTATCCACGTCTTTTCTATCTTCATTTTTGCGAGGTGAAAAATAATCGCCAAACCGCGTCGTTCAACAGTCACGTTCGAAAAAATTACTCCACAGAAAAAGAATTGAAATTAAAAACGAAAACTTTACTCTCTTTTTAAAAGTTTGATGTAAAAAAAAGGAGAATATTCATCTCTTTTTTTCGATGCAATTTGTCAGAAGAAGAATTAAAAAAAACAATTTAAATAAAATCGAATAAAAAGTTGAATTCGAAACCGAATTTTTTGAAGCAAACTTCAACTGGAACAAACTGGAACTGGAAGCAAATTCAACAAAATAATCATGGAAAATAAAAAATTATCTAAATTTACAAAAATTCGAACTGAAATTTAAGTTTTTGATTTTTATAAACATAAATGGCAGTTTCATGTAATTCGGAAATAAACGATTCTTTTTCAAAATATGAAATTCCCTACGAGGAGATTTCGCATGAGATTGACAACAATTTTCTGTCTCTCAAAGTTCCAAAGGACATCGGACAGATAGAGGCAGTTCAAGGAAAGACTCCTTCCAATTCAGTTCGTGTCAATTGTGCAGACACATCCGGTAAATCTCTTCATTTTTTTCCAAACTATAGACAAATCGTTTTGATTTTCTTATATCAAGAAATCTTTTAGTGAAATAACGTTTACAAATTAATTTTTACAAATCAATAATTTTCATATTTTTCTAAAATAATCTTTAGGCATTTTTTTTTCAAATTGAAAAATTAAATTTGTTTTTTTCTTCTAGGGAAAAACACTTGTAGGGAAGAGTGTACAAAAGTTAATGTTATTCCAAACAGGAAACCACCGGCAAAAAAACCAGAAGAAGAATTATTTTTGCTCAGATGCAAAAAACGTGTCTTGCAAACAGATATTGTTGAACACACCCTTGAAATAGAATTAAAAGCACCTCGAAATTATCGACCGTTACCAAAACCAGGACCTCCTCCTCCAATTATAGAAATTCCATTTATCCCCATCGCAGGTAAAAATGAAAAGAACAAGAAAATAAAGAAAAAGAAGAAGAAAAAAAAGAAATGATAAATAACCAAATTTAATTCTTTTTCTTTAAAAAAAAAGAAAGCAGTAATAATTTTCATCTACAACAAAAAGCAATATCTCTCTCACGAAAAAAATTTATTTTTATTATAAAAATTCATGTTTGAAAATGAAAATATTTCTATTGATGAATGTGAGCAAAAGATAAACGTTTGAAAGCAATTTTAATTTTACCAAAATATATCGTCATTGATTCGCCGTCATTTTCTATATAATCGAAAAATATTCCATGAACTAAAATTCGTTTACCTCTGAAAAAAAAATTTATTCATGTTTCGATAACACAACTGCGATAAAAATATAGAACAATTGAATAATTCGTCTAGAACCAAAAGAATTATGGACTTTGAATTAATAATTGAAAAAAGAATGAAAATATTGCTGCATAAAATAATGTAAAAATTAAAAAAAAAGAGAAAAATATAACAAAATATTTACCAACACTAAAAAAACATTGTCAACGTTCCTATAAATTTAAAATAATACAAAATAAAATATAATTAATATTTAATAAATACTAGCAAATGTTTCACAATAATTCAACTATTTTCAAAAATTTTTTAACTCTTCGCAAGAATTCAATTATTTTCAAAACAATTTCAATTAAATACCTTAAAATATTCAATTATTTAAAAAGATGTTTCAAAAGAATTCAATTATTTTCAAAAGTTTTGATAACATTTTTTATAATGAATTCAATTATTTTTAATACAATTTAAAATGTTTCAAAAGAATTCAATAATTTTCAAGTTTTGATAAAATTTTTTATAATAATTCAATTATTTTTAATACAATTTAAATAAAATTTCTTCAAAGAATTTTAATAAACTACTTGACAAAAATTAAAATATTTTCTTAAATAATAATATTCTTCACAGGAATGGAATTATTTAAATAAGTAATAAAATTCTTCAAAAGGAATTAAAATATTATCAATACAATTTTAATAACATTTCTCGATAGAATTCAATTATTTTAATTTTAATAAAATGTTTAGAAAAAATTCAAATATTTTCAATAATTTTTTAAAAAATTCTTTCCAAGAGTTCAATTATTTTCTATACATTTTTAATGAAATTTCTCCAAAAGATTCAATTATTATCATAAAATTTAATAAACTTCCTCACAAGAATTCAATTATTTTTTTAACAATAAAATTCTTCACAGGAATTCAATTATTTTAATAAATAATAAAATTCTCTAGAAGAATTAAATTATTTTCAATAAATTTTTAATGAAATTTCTCCAAAAGATTCAATTATTATCAAAAATTTAAATAAACTAGTTCACAAAAATTCAATTATTTTCAATACAATTTTAATAAAATTCTTAGAAGGAATTGAAATTTTTTTAATAATTTTCATAAAATTCTTTATAAAATTACTTTCAAAAATTTTGATAAAATTCTTTATAAGAATTAAAAAAAAAATTTTTTAAAATAATTATAAATAGTTAGAAAACAAAAAAGTAAACAAAAACAACTAACTTCAATCTGCTAATGGACATCCGGAAAACAACGATTTTGAAATAGAGAAAATTAATAATTAAAAATAGTAGAAGTAGATTTCGAAGTTATTTTAAAATATTTTCGAATATTTTTATCGTTTTGATCGTTAATTCTTTCTTCGATAAACAAAAAGGGGTTCGTCTAAAAATCTTACGGCCCTGTTAAAGATTTAGATATCGATATATATCGAAGAAAGTGCTGCCACCGCACTAAAGATTAAAGAGAAAGAATTAAAGAAAATCACAAAAACCTCGTCAGTTATTCTCTTGTACTCTTTTGTTTGGCATTTGTTGTGTAAAAGGTATGTATATATACACCTTATTTTTCTCTTTATCACGGGTCTCACGGGTTTATAGTCAATTAATCAGATTCACTAATTTGATTACAAAAGACTATTAAACCGATATATTCCTACTTTGCCTAATGAGAAAACAATTCACCATGCAAAATTGCTAACGAAACAATTGACTTTCAAATTTTCTCAATGAAAAAGCTTTAAAAGCACGTGGCTATTTTATTCTATTGCACTTCATATTTATTTAGAGAATTTACTTTCAATTATTATTATTATTATTATTATTGTTATTTTGTCAAGTTTTTTTCACTAAGATAATTAACTGATTAATGTATTTCAATTGATTTCAATCATATATGAAAGTGTAATTTATCACAGAAAAATAAAAACAAAACAACGCTATATATAATCAACATTGATTTTTTTTGTTTTTGTAAAAAGAAAGAAAAGGAAAATTGTTACTAACAATCCTAAGTTTTTATTTTCTTGCGTCACTTTTGTATTTAAAAAATAAAATAAATAATAATTATAATAATAATTTTTTTATGTAAAAATTTCCTTTTTTCTCAGTTTTTCTAAATTCTAAAATATTATATTTAGTTGAATTTATTAAATTTTGCAAAGTAAGACTTTTTCAGAGCTAATAATGAGAAAGTTAAAATAAGATTTCGCTGCAATTTTGCAAAAATGATTTGTATTCAAATTCTTTATTCTTTGAAAATGTTGTGGTAGAAAAAGTAAACAACTCACCATTTTTTAATATCCTTTGTAGTATCCTTTTTAATATCCTTTGTAATATCCTTTGTAGTATTTTTCTTTAATATTCTTTTATAAAATAATTTTTAATATGCTTTGTAGAATCCTTTCTTAATATCCTTTGTAATATCATTTTTTTAATTTTCATTATAGAATCCTTTTTTAATATCTTTTTATAGAATCTTTTTTTAATATCCTTTTGTAGAATACTTTTTTAATATCCTTTGTAGAATACTTTTTTAATATCCTTTGTAATATAATTTTTTAATATTCTTTGTAATATTATTTTTTAATATTCCTTGTAATATCCTTTTTTAATATTCCTTTCCAATGCACACTTTTTCATCTGTAACAAAAAAATTTTCTTTTTAATTTTTATTAATGAAAACGACACAATCGGACAACAATATGTTACTTTTTATTTCTTAAAAGTCCAACGTATTTTTATAATAATTATTTATTATAATTGAAAAATAACAGAATATCATCTAAAAGTCTATCAATCGTTATTAATAATTTTTTTTTTATTTTCAGTAAACAAAAAGAAAAAAAAATGAGCAACATTCAAAATTGCAATCCTGAAATCGGAGGTTTTTTGGAGATCGAATTTTTTAATGATGAACCAATAGCTTCGACAAGTCGAGGAGATGTCCCCACGTCCGAGGATGATACACAATGGTGTGAAGCTTTTTTAAAATTAAGCACAATTTTCTCGGATATTAATCCCGATGTAATAAAAAATATTTATTTTCGCCAAGCAAAAAATACTAATTTCAAAAATGAGGATTTATTAAATTCCGTCAGCGAAGAAATTATAAATAATCAAAAAGACTGCAGTCGACTGGAGAATTTTTTATCAAATGTTGAGGATTTAAAAGTATTTACGGAAATCGTACCTGAGGACACAAATGCGAATGAAGAATTACCATCAAATTCGTTTGATGTTGAAAAATTTTTAATAGCAATTCCAAATGCAGTGGAATTTTTTGAAAATCCAGAAAGAACATTTGAGTACAGTCTAAAGATGTTTGAATTATTTAAAAACTATTTTAGACAATTAAAGGTAAATTCTTTTTATAATTAAATTTTAATTTATTTCTTAAGAATTATTACTAATTTTCAATCATATTAAAATTTATTATTATAATTACATATTATCGATTTAATTAATTTATTAATTTAATATTAGATATTAATTATAATAATTTATATTTTACATAATAATAGTTATATAATAATTTATAATTAAATTAAAAAAAATTTATTCTTACAGCTGTCTACGATATCCGACGAATATACAAAAAAGGGATTTAATCCTATCGAAACGTTTGAAACTCTAAGCAACAAGAACATTGAAATAAAAATAAAACGTAAAAAAACTAAAATAGATGTAGAAAATTGTCAAGATGTATTGATAGAATTTGAATACATCTCTAATAGACAAGCAATAATTGATTACATCATACAGCAAGAAGAAAACGAGAAATATGATCCTCAAAAAATGAGCGTTAATATTCAAGAAAATCAAGAGGTACTAGAATGCGAATGCTGCTTCGAGGGAATTAATCCAAAATTTGCAATAAGTTGTGGAGAAGGACATGTTTTTTGCCAAACATGTACAATTACAGGAACAGACGTTGAATTGCAAAAAGGTTGCTATCGCATAAAATGCTTTCAAGAATGCAGCAGCGAATTAAATTTAAATTCATTGCAAAAAATTCTAATGCCAAATAAATTCAAAATTCTTTTGGCAAAAGTACAGGAGCAAGAAATAGCAGCGGCAAAAATTGAAGGTTTAGATTCATGTCCATTCTGTCACTATGCTACAATTTTACCTGAGAATGATAAACTTTTCACGTGCATGAATCTTGATTGTGGAAAAATATCCTGCAGGTAAAAATATATGTAGTCATAAATTTATCGAATAATTTAACTGTTTAATTAAATTAAACATCTTTTAATTTAATATAGATTGTGCAAAAAACTGGACCACTTGCCGAGAGAATGTGAAAAAATTGAAAGAAACAAAAAAGCACGACTGATTGTCGAAGAAAAAATGACGGCAGCCTTGGTTCGAACTTGTAGAAGATGTGGTAAGGAGTCAATTAAGGATGGAGGGTGTAATTTTATAACATGTCCTTGTGGAGAAACCTTTTGCTATTACTGTGGAAAGTCATCGATAACTCATGATCACGTAGATAGAATGTCAGTATTTTTTTTCACAATTCAATTTTTTTTTTCAATGAAAATATTCTGAATTAGTTTTTATTATTTTTTTATATTTTTATTATTATTTTTTTAGGTGTAACGCTCACACATCAGACGCATCCACTGTCGCGTTTGTTGGACGAAAAGTCACAAACGCACTACTTGAATTGGATCCTAATCTCCAAATTAATGTGGAATCAATTCTACCGACAAATTATGCTAACGTTTCAAGTGCAACTGTGCCGGTAAAGTATCACTTTATCTTTAAACATTCAGGCCTCGAATCGACTTTGAGAAACAATAAATTTTTTTAATCGATTAAAAATACCGAAAAAGTCGATTATTTTATTTTGAGTTATCACAAAAATTTCATTTTCTATTTTGACTTTTCCCTGACTTTCAAAAAAAAAATTTTTAATATCTAGAACATTTAACTAAATTAATTCAACAGTTTTAATTTATATTTAAAAACTTAACTAATTTTTTAAAAAATTCAACTAAAAGTTTTCAAATAATTAAGTTTCTAAAAATTAATTAATTTCACTCAAAATTCAAAATTAAACAAATTTTAATTTGAAAAATTATGGAAATTTAATTATTTCTAATAAATTAAACTATGACTTCCAATATTCAATTATTATTTTCTAGAATTTGTAACTGAAATTCTTTTCTAAATCAATTATTTTTATTAATTTTCAGAAAATTATTCGAGAATTATAATTATTCAAAAATACTGTTCACTTTAAATTCGTCAAAAATTCAATTGCTGTCCATTAAATGTTACGAAATTTTAATTATTGGAAAGCTTTATAATTAAATAATCTATAAATTTAAAAATTAAACTAAAAGTTTTTCAAAAAATTAATGTTACTCAAAATTCAAATTTTTAAAAATTTTAATTTGAAAACTTTTGAAATTTAATTATTTCCAAAAAATTTTACTATAACTCTTCTAATATTCTATTATTTTCCACAATTTTCAACTAAAATTCTTCTCTAAATAATTTATTTTTAGTATTTTTCCGAAAATTATTCAAGAATTAAATTAAGTAAAAAGTCAATTTTTTAAAAAACTGTTTTATACACAGAAAATTTATTAAAAAAAAAAAATGAAAATCGAAATAATTTGCATTTTACACAAAATAGTGGCATTTTGTTGCAATATTTGAAAAAAAAGTCGAAAAAGTCGTATTTTATGAAAATAATGATCAAAAAAGTGTTTTTTTCTCAAAATAGTTGAAAAAGTCATAGTATTCGAGGCCTGAACATTATTTTGTTTTAAATAAATTCAAATAACTAAATAATAAATTTTCTAAAATAGAAACAACTATTTTGACCTTTTATCTAATGTTAAAGAAAGGATTATTTTAAAAATTAAATTCAAAGATTCAAAGATTGTATAATTATATTAACTTACCAACATCTTTTATTTTCAGACCATAGCATTAAGGGAATCGTCAACACTTCCGGAATTTTAAATTCCCTTTGTCACATCTGAAAGCAGAAAACCACACATCATGGAGTATTATTTTTTCTTTTCATAAATTTTCAATTTTTATTTTTATTATTAATAACAGTATATTAATATTTTGTTTTTAATTTTTAAGTTAACGTAAATACATTACTTTTTCATCGATTAAAAAATGTTCTCTTTTAGTTTTTTTATGTGCGCCTTTTATTAGTTATCGGTTTTTCATTATTCAGTGAACTTTCATTCCTCTTCATAAATTTGCCGTCGAATAAAGTATATCTATTTTCTGAATGATCCACAATATACAAAACTGTATTAAATTTCGAGATATGCTCTAATATTAACAATATTACACACTTTAGAAATAATTCAACATCTTGGAATTGTATAGTTCACTGCTATTTCTTTACAGTAAATAAAATTTAAATTTTTTATAATCAATGATAATTATAGATTTATTCCGATAGACGTAATTTAACCTCAAATTTCAAGTATTTATTAACTTTTCATTGTAAAAGGATTAATAATGCTAGATAAATATTTTTAGACAAAAAAAAATTATAATGAGGCAAAACAATTTTTTTACTGAAAACAAATTGGTAAATAATTAACTTGATATTATTTTAACAATTAATTTTTTATGCAAATGCAGAAAAATTGCAAACATTTTGTGCGCTTATATTTGATCGCAACTTATTTTTCCCATAATAACTGAATTTTTTATTGATGTCAGCTGAAATTACTTGTTTTTATGTTTCTAAGACTAGTATTTCTATTGTAAAAATTAAAATTATTATTTCTAACATTATATTTTATAATAACAATTACATTTTTATTGCCAACTTACGTTTGTCATCTTTGCGAAAATTTGCAATACTCGTTTTTCCTTCACGATATTTAAAATAATTGTTATTTTCCCATCAAAAACGAAATTCATACAAAAATAATTAATAAACAATATTTTCTTAAACAATAAAACTGAATGAAAGAGAAAAAAATTGGAGCACTTTCGTATTGTTTTCAACCGGAAGTGAAAATTTGGGGGGAAAAAACCGCTAAATGAAAAGTAGATCACAACTACGTGAGTCAAACAAACTACTTTAAATAATTTCAACGAAAAAAAACAATAATACTATTAAGTCAATTTAAATATTCGTACTTTTATAAAATAAAGGCAATAAATACGGTTAATTTTTTCTTTACAAAAATTTTATTAAAAAAGAAAAAAGAATATTGAGTAATTTTTAAATATTGTGATTTTTTACCGGAAGTCCTAAACGTAATCGGTTTTTCGTAAATAACGGAAGTAGCCGATTGTTAACGAAGCATCTATAGGAAGAAGAAGAAAAAAAAGTTCGTTGTCGCCATTTTCTATTCCCTTCCAGTGCCTTTGTGTTTAAAAAAAGAAAAAAAAAAGAAAAACTGGCTGCATTAAAAGCGTAATCAAAGGCAGTAAGTCACAGTAAGTCGACAAACCTCTTCGTGCTATTGTTTGATTTTATGTTTCACGTATTGTGAACCTAAATTCAGTGAGAATTGTTTGTCACATGAAATCTTTATCCCAGAGCTCTCAGGGTAAAAATTTTTTTTATTTTATTAAATCTACAACTATATAAAAGAAATATTTATTTTTAAATATATATTTTGGACATATGTTGTGAATTTGTAATTTATAATTTATAGGTTAGAATTTGAATCGTAAAATTGTTTTCACTAATTAACAACAAAAATTTGATTTTTGTTATAAATTTCTTTTCTTTTATTTTAGTCTCAAAATTTCGTTTATTTATATTTTATCACAACATAAAGCAGTTTTTCGAATTTTATATTCAATAATCGAATGTTATTAATCGAGTATAATAGGAAACAAGCAGACCGGTGTTTGATTTTATCGTTTATTTACTTTCTCATTTTTTGTTCATATTAATTTTTTTTGTCTCGAATTTTTGCAGGTTTTGATTTTTAATAATGAATATTGCCGGCACAAGTTCTGGAAGAGACCTTCCAGCTAACAAATTAAATATTTATTATAGAATACGTTCTATTTTCCCGAACATTGCAGCCGATCATATAAAAGATATGATTTTGAATCCACACTTGTATGATATGCAAGACGTGCAAGACGATCAAAGTTTTATTTCGAACATGACAGAAAATTTGTTAGTAAATGGTGCGAATCACGTGGACCTTGAAAATGTCGCGAGAAATTCCAGCTCATGGAAATTTGAAATTATTCCTACACCTGATGTACAAACAGGAAGGTTAATAGAAATATTCCCGGATGCTGATCCGGAATATCTAAAAGATTATGCGGAAATAAATTACAAAAATCCGGAACTAATAAATACATTCATCGAAGACAATTTAAGGGAGAAAAAATATCCAAGTCGCGAAGATTATGTTAAGAGAAAAAAACTCGATGATGATTATAAAAAATATTTTACGAATTTTTTTTCTGTTGCGGAATTCGTAAAAGAAATATCGAATCCTATCGAATATTTCGAAAATATTAACAGGGAATGTCAGGATAATGATGTTACAAAAGCATTATTATACGATCTCTTTAAAAATGTAGAAGTAAGTATTATTATTTTTTCTTTATTTATTTAGAACGAAAAATTAACATTTTTTTTTCTCTTTTGTTTAACAGAAAGCAGTAATAAACGACGAATATGCTGCGTGTAAATTTAATGCAACTTTAACGTCCAATAATTTAGTAGAGAAACATTCGGGACAGTTGCACGAAATAACAAAAGACTCTTTAAAAAGTTTAAACATGAATCAAATTCATGAATTTTCTTTTATTTACAATAAAAAAATTTTTGAAAAAGATTTTGAAAATTCAGTGGAAGAAGTATTGGAGTGCCAGACGTGTTTAACTCTCGTTCCGGCATCAAAATCGTCAACTTGTGATAACGATCACAATTTTTGCCATCAGTGTATTAGATTAGGAACAGAATGCAAAATTTCCGAGGGTATTTATAATATTCCTTGCTTCGTAAAGTGTAATGGTACATACAGTCAAGCAACATTGAAAACAGTGTTAAATTCGAAAACCTATAATATTTTGATGCAAAAACGACAAGAAGAGTCGATTCTGGAAGCTTCTGTAAACGCAGAAAGTTGCCCATTCTGTACTTTTTTGCAAGAAGTTGATGAGGAGAGTAAAATATTTTTTTGCCTTAATGATGATTGTAGGAAACAATCTTGCAGGTATTTGAAATTTTTATGCATTGCAATGAAAAGGAATTATCGACAATATACAGAATATGTAAAACATTTGTTATTATTATATAATACAATTGATTCGTGAAATTTAATATACTTTTTCTTTCTAGGAGGTGTAAAAAAATGAATCATTTGCCATACGAATGTAAAGACGTATTAGAAATACGAAAAGCTCGAATATATTTGGAAGAAAAAATGACACGAGCTTTGATTAGAAATTGTCTAAAATGTGGCAAGCAATTCCTAAAATCAGAGGGATGTAACAGAATGACATGTGTTTGTGGCGCTAGCCAGTGTTATTTATGTGATGCATCAGTAGCGTCGGATAATTATAAACATTTTAATGGTCAAGGATCGGATCGACACGACTTGTAAGTTAATTTTGTATTTTTAAAAAATAATTGAATTTCAAAAGTTTTTTAAATTGAAAGATTAAAAATTTTCAATTGAAGTAAAATATAATATTTAAATATTCATTTAAAAAATTCTAATTGCTGTAAAAGTATATAATAATATTTGAATATTTTAAAAATTATTAATTTACTATTTTTCTAAACAATTATTAAAGTTTAAAATAATTCTATTTAAAAAATTCTAAAAATTAGTGGAATTTTGAAATAATTGTATTTATAATTTTTATAAATAATTACATTACAGTCCCCTTGTTTATCTAATCCCCTTTTTATTTTTATTTTCCCCTTTTTTTATCTCCTTAAATTAAATAAATTCCTCAAAAACACCTAAAAAAATTTCACTTTTAGAAAATTTCGGAAAAATGTTAGAAAAATCTTTTTCTATTATTTTCTCAGAGTTTTTTAATTGTTTATTTATTTTTTTATACAAGGTAAGATATATAAAATATCTTGAATTATACTTACAAAGTAAAATAAAGTTGAAAGTATGTTTTACAAATTTTTATTAAAATTTACTTTGAAAATAACAATTTTTAATAGTAAATTTGTGTATGAAAATTTTTTAAATTTTCTTCGAATGTAGTACAATTTGTCATTAAAAATTATTATGTCCAGAGTAAATTTTACTTCCTCTGAATTAAATTTTTGTAAAGAAATTTTCTTCGAAAATAGTAAAATTAAAGTTATAATATCCTAATATAAAAATTATTTTCAAAAGTGATAAAATTCTTCACAGAAATTCAATTATTTTCAAAGATTTAAATAATTTAAATAATTTTCATTCAAATTACAATTATCTTTATAAATAATAAAAATTTCGCAAGAATTCTATTATTTACAAATTTTTTAAATAAATTTCTTCGGAATAATTCAATTATTTTCGTAAATAATTAAACTTTTTATAGAGATTCAATTATTCTCATAAATAATAAAACTCATCTTATAATTTCAATTATTTTTAGTACAATTTTAATCGAATTCGTCGAGAAATGCAATAATTATTCTTCAAGATAATTATTTTAAAATTATTCTTCAATTATTTCTTCAAAATTCGTCGAATTAATTCAATTATTTAAAAATTTGTTAATAAAATTTTTTAGGAACATTCAATTTTGAGAAACATTCAATTATTCAATATTTATAATTTATAATTTATTTTTGTATTTAAATAATTGAATTCTTCTATAATTTTCTAATAAAAATTAATTTAAAAGTGAATTTTCAGTAACAATTGAATATTAAAAACATTACAAGGTGAATATTTTTAGAAATTAATTGAATTTTAAAAAGATTCCAAATTAAAATCTTTGAAAATCTGAATTTTTCATAATTTTTTTTTTCATATTAACAATTGAACCCCTTGATGCAAGAACCAGACATGGACCATTGAAATTAAATGGGCTACGTCTGGTTCTTGCATCAAAGGGTTCAATTCTGAAGAATTAATTTTTTTTGGAAAAGTTTAATTGAATTTTTTTGTTGAAATTATTTGATGTTTTTATTTTCTAATAATAATATTCAATTGAAGAATTTCAGAATAATCGAAATTTCCTTAAAATTGAATTCTAGACAAATGGATTTGAAAATTTTTAGATATATTTTTCAAAAATTATTAAGAATATATTTAACTTGAAGAAGAATTTTAGTTAAAAATTCTAGAAAATAATAATTAAATTGAAATGTTGAAAATAATTTTAAAGAAGTTAGAGTAACAATATTCTTATAATATAAAATAATGATTTCATCACTCGGTCAACTGTAATTATTATAAAATATGAAAAAATCGATCATTCTGAGTATTTTTTTGAGTATTTAATCATTTTGAGAGTGAATCAGAATATTATTTAGGATCAGGGAAAAAGTCAAAATTTTGTCTGAAAATTGGGGAAAAGTCAGGAAAAATAAAAATTTTTGTGGCAACTCTGTATTGGTCAAATTTAATTTTTCGATAGGTACTTTTTTTACTACTTTTTCTTTAATTAATAAATGAGTGCGAAGTCTGTAAGAAAAATTGTGTGCTTGAAATGTTTTAAAATAAGAGATTTTAATTTTTACAAAATTTCAGATGTCCTTTGTATACGGATGACAAGTACCAAGAAGTACAATCCGTACTGGAAGTGGCCAAAAAAACCAAGGAAGCGATCCTGAAACAAAATCCTGATTTCGAGACGGAAATGATTGACGTACTTTTGCCTGTTTTACCTGAAAAAACCGAAGGGCCACACGATCAAATACCAAATTCTAACGAACTTCCAGTAAGTTTTTGCTTTTGTATATTACAGTTATAATTTTTTACAAAAAATCGTGTAAAGTTTAACACGATCGTTACTTTTCAGGAACACGTATTAAAAGTCGCTAAAGCAATTGCCCCTTGAAATTTTTCAAAAATTTACATAAGATACTCATTTCTTTTTTTTCATAATTCATGATTTTTCGAGAAAAAAATGAATTGTTTTTTTTTTTTGTTTACAACAGTTTTTTATTAATCAAGATTATAACTGTTTAGTTTTTTTAATATTATTTAGATAGAACTTTGAAATCAAAAGGATTTAAAACAATTGTTCTATATTTTAAGAATCGAAATATTAAAAAAAAATTTTTACGAATAGATTGTACTTCAAGTTTGATGCTCAACGAAAGCATGAAAGAGTTTCGTTTTTAGGAAAATTAAAATTTAATATTCCTAATTTAATGTATAAATAGAACAAGATCTTTGAACGTTATAACTAATAGGAGTGAGAGGGTCCAGTTAGCAAAACAATTGGAATTCCATATATCGATTGTCTATGTCGACTTAAAGTGGGAAACGAAACCTCACGTGACATACCGAGTTTCCCAGGGATTTTCATGATTTCACACAGAAAATAAACCCTCGCGATATTCGAATCCGTGTTGAGAATTCAAACACGAAATGGAAAAGCTTGGCTTTCTGTATTGCTGAAATTTTTATATTATAGAATAAGAGAGAGAGAGAGAAAGAGGGAATTATTCCTTTCAAAAATATTGAATTATTATAAAGCTGTATCGATAGTTTTGTTAATTTCGGTGAATTTAATATTCAAATACATAAATTTTCTGAAAAAAGAAAATAAATTCATCGGAGATATTTTTTTTTCATTTTTTTCACAATTCGTTCAATATTAATGAATATTTAATTAGAATTTCAATTTTGAATTTGATCTGTAAAAGGGCGCGGATCGTAAACATGAATTCGAGATCAATCTTGCCACCTGTTTCTGATTTACGTGCTGAGTATTATTAACAGAGGTCATAAAGTTTAAGATAAGCTTATTAGTTCCACATTTCCCTTTTGTTGTTGGAATTTAAATAGGAGAACATTCAGTCTCTGAATCGTAAAACAAACATAATAATTTGTTATTCGCGTGGAAGTAACAGAAAATGAAAAAAAGTACAAAATGTTATTTTTTTTGTTACTATTTTATTTATATAATTACAGAGAAAAATATTCGAGTTTTAAAATTAGTGCTTCATTTAATTATGAACGAGAAATATAAAAGCTTCAAGGATATTCAAAAAAAAAAAAAAAAAAAAATGAAAAGGTTTCTCCAAAAGCAGAATTATAAGCTTTATATTTACTTTTCTCGAATTATCTCTAAAAATAGTTGTATTAGTTTCTTTCTTATGTAAAAAAGTTCCATAACGTCGAGGCATGTATCAAGTAGTGATTGTTATTATTATTATTATAGAATTAATAATTATTATTTAATATTAAATTATTTAATTTCATTTGTAATTTCTTAATTATAATGATTATTAGTTTGTTCATTATTTATAGTTACTAACTTATAGTAAACTAGCGCCCGAAACATGATATTCCATTTATTATTATTTTTGATATTATTACGTAAATTACAAAATTTTTTATTTTCAAATAGAAACTTCGATTTTTGAATAATTTCAGATTCAGAATTTAAAAAATTTGCTTATTAAGTACATAATTAACTATTAATTTTTATTTTCAAAAAATTTAATAAATTTCTAAGAATTCAATTATTTTCTAGAATTTTAATAAATTCGAATCAATTCAAATATTTTTATAAAAAATATAGTAAAATTCTTCGCAAAAATTAAATTATTTTTATAAATAACAACATTTTTTTCAGGAGTTCAATTATTTTTAATACAATTTTTGATAAAATTCAATAATCAAATTTTTTATTTTATTAGCAGACGCGATAATTTTAAAAATTTGAAGCAAATTCTTTGTTTTATTCAATTATTTTCAGAATTTTCAATTAAATTTATTAAAAAAAAACTACATTACATATTTTCAAAAAAATTAAAAAAAGTCTTTAAAAGAATTTAATTATTTACAAGAACTCTAATAAAATTGTTTAAAAGAATTCAAATTTTTCTCAATCATCCTAATAGAATTTCATGAATGAATTCAATTATTTAAAAAAAATTGTAATAAAAATTCTAAGAAAAATTTAATTATTTCCTAAAAATCTTAATAAAATCCAAGAATCAAATTAATTTCAATCATTAACAAACACGATGATTATTTTAAAAACTTGAAAGAAATTCTTTATAAAATTCAATTAGATTCAATATTTTGAAATAAAATTATTAAAGGGAATTATTAAAGGAAAATTATTAATGAAAATCTCCATTAACTTAAAAAAATTGAAAGAAATTCTTCAAATATTTTAATTTTGGATCTTTAAAAATTTTAATAAAATTCTTCACAAGAATTGAATTATTTTCATAAATAATAAAATTCTTCGAAGGAATTCAATTATTTTTAATACAATTTTTTATAAAATTCAATAATCATTTCCAATGTTATTAAATAGACACGATTATTTTAAAAAGTTGAAACAAATTCTTTGTTTAAATTCAATTATTTTTAGAATTTTCAATTAAAATTAAAAAAAACAACTTAATTTAAATCATTATCGAACAAACACGATCAGGTTTTAAGAACTTAAAAGAATTTCTTCATAAAATTCAATTTGTTTCAAAATTTTTATTCAAAATTATTTAAAAAATCGAGACGCCTGTTTATCCCCGTTTATGCAAATGCTCTAATAGTCATTTGATCTAATTTAAAGGTTATAAATATTCAAATGATCTAAAGAACATTGAATATAATGTGATTTTATATAAAAGTCTAATTAATAAAATGAGTTTATTCTATAATTTATTTTTAAGCCAATAATCAAAATATCCAATTCGCATTTTCTATAATCATAAGCAATTATAAAATTTTTTCACGCAAACTTTCAACTGATAAAATAGTTGTATAAGCCAAAGTTTATTTTTTATAATTTTATAATAACCTAATTTTAAAGTGTTATAATTTTTAATTTGTATAAATTGTAATTTAACAAATGTCTGTCAAATCTAAATGTAGTAAAATATAATTTATTTAAATAAAATATCTTTTTTAAAAAATGCTAACAACCTCGAATCGTCAATTGATCAAATATTCAAAACATCTAATCGTCATTTCGTCCAATGCTAAAAACATCGAATCGTCAAATGGTCGAATGCTTAAAACATCGAATCGTCAATTGATCAAATATTCAAAACATCTAATCGTCATTTCGTCCAATGCTCGAAACGTCGAATCGAGAAAAATTGGAAAAATTTGCTTGGTTTAAATAAATGTTAACTTACATCAAGCAAATTTTTCAACTTTTTCTCGATTCGACGTTTCGAGCATTGGACGAAATGACGATTAGATGTTTTGAATATTTGATCAATTGACGATTCGATGTTTTAAGCATTCGACCATTTGACGATTCGATGTTTTTAGCATTGGACGAAATGACGATTAGATGTTTTGAATATTTGATCAATTGACGATTCGAGGTTGTTAGCATTTTTTAAAAAAGATATTTTATTTAAATAAATTATATTTTACTACATTTAGATTTGACAGACATTTGTTAAATTACAATTTATACAAATTAAAAATTATAACACTTTAAAATTAGGTTATTATAAAATTATAAAAAATAAACTTTGGCTTATACAACTATTTTATCAGTTGAAAGTTTGCGTGAAAAAATTTTATAATTGCTTATGATTATAGAAAATGCGAATTGGATATTTTGATTATTGGCTTAAAAATAAATTATAGAATAAACTCATTTTATTAATTAGACTTTTATATAAAATCACATTATATTCAATGTTCTTTAGATCATTTGAATATTTATAACCTTTAAATTAGATCAAATGACTATTAGAGCATTTGCATAAACGGGGATAAACAGGCGTCTCAAAAAATCTCCATTAGTTTAAAAAAAATTCAAAGAATTTATTCAAAAAAAATTTAATTTAAGGATCTTAAATAATTTTACCAAAATTCTTCACAAGTATTCAATTATTTTTATAAATAATAAAATAACAAGAAAAATAATATTTATAAAATTGCAAATACCTTTGTTAACATATTTTTAATTGTCTACATTTTATATTTGTACTTAAATCGCTGAGTCCATCTTCAGCGAAGAGGCAAAATTAGAAAGGAACGCGTTACCTACTGCAGGGAATGAAAAGTCTTTTATCCTAGAGTAACAGCATAGAAGATATCTGTTTCAAATGCTCAATTATTGTTAATTATTTTGATTAATATTAACATAATTATTATCATTACTACTAATGAATTAAACTTCATATAATTATATTATTAATATTAATTGTTATTACTTACAAAATTTAATAATTATAATTATAATAGTAATAATACACTGAAAAAAAATTTATTTGATTCAAATAACCGAATACTTGACTATTATCAATTAAATATTTACTTGAATCAAATAATATTTATTGGAATCAATTAAATGGTGTTTGAACCAAAAATTTCAGTATTTTAAGCAAATATGAATTGAACCATTTAATTGACTCCAACAAATATTATTTTATTCAATTAAATATTTAATTGATGATAGTCAAGTAATCGGTTATTTCAATCAAATAAATTTTTTTTTCCAGTATAATAATAATAATAATAATAATAAAAATATTAGCATTGATAAAAATATAATAAACTGGTTGTAATAATTTAGTAGAAATATTAATTATTCAAAGGGATGAACCCGTTTTGAAAATATTACATGTTCGTTTCGATTATCTTGACATTTCTATTATTGGTGTGTCATTTTCATTCTGCCAACTGTTCATAGAAGTGACAAATATTTTTTCATATCTTTAAAATTAGTAGATGTTTAAATTTATAAACTAAATTGAAAATCGACATCTACGCTGATTTAAGAGGCAGAGAATAAATTGTACAGTAAATAACAAGAGGCAATATAGATTGCTTTTGGACGTATAAGAAAATGGGGGAAGATGTACATAAACCAAGTTCTTCAAAATCAGCAAGAACAAATTGAATAACAACATTCAGGTGAGCATTACAAAATTTATTTTTTTTGCATTAAATTTAAATATAGTTTCATTTGAAAATATTAAAATTAAAATTCCAAATTTCATTTCATTTCGTTATAAAATAAAATTATATTGTATTTTTGTATCTTTTTAACCGCATTTCAATATTTTGAGTTTCAGTATGAAGAAAGAGCTCGTACTTTTGTGCATTATCTCGCTGATTGTCGTGGGATTTGGGAAACCTTGTAAATATTGGTGCAAAACTGACAAATGGGAGTATTACTGTTGTTCGTCGAAAAGTGAAAAGTCAAGAGAAGAAAATCCTTTGAAGTCAATGATGGGAATTTTAATACCCCACTTGTGGTTCGCTCTTGGATTTCCGAAAATTTATCATCATGAACATATTGCTTGGGAAGAGATGAAGCATCAGGAACATGGGAGGAAATGTCCACCAGTGAGGCACGCTTGTCCAAGGAGCAACGATTGGTGGTATGATGCTCCAATTCCTTGTTACAATGACGATGAATGCATATCATCTGCGAAATGTTGTTTTGACATTTGTCTTAATCACAAAACATGCAAACCAACAGTTTAATTACGTAAAATATTTAATAGTCATTAATTAGATTATTTATTTAAATAAAGAAAAGGAAACTAATGCTAAATCTTTATTTTAATCGTTATTAGAGAAATTTAGAATAGTAAAATTATATTTTTTTCGATTTTAGATATGAAATAATATTGCAGGCTTTTGACTACAATTTGGATATTTTTTCTATAGTTTTGCGCCACTAAAAATTACTTTTTGCCTTTTTTAAATTTTTTCTACTTTAAACAATAACAGATTCTTCACAGAATAGAAAAATAATAGAAATAAACTTTCTGATCAGAATCTATTTTAAATGGAATTTCAATTAAGATTTTAGAAAATAATTGACTATTATAAGCGTTTTAGTAACAATTTTTTTTCGATACAATCAAACTTTAAAAGGTTTAAAATTAAAATCTTTAAAAATTTGAATTTTGAGTAAATTTTACTTAAAAATTATAAGGAATTTAGTTTTTTGGTAATTTCGAATAATCAACAATTTTTCTAAATAAAATAATTACTTTAAAATATTTTACAAAATCTCATTTTTTAGAATTATTATTATAATTTTGAAAAAAAACAATCATTTTAAAAATTTTTTATTATTCAATAAAATTGACTAGTTTTTTCAATTGTCAAAAAATTCTTTAACAAAATTTAATTATTCTCAAAAACTTCTTTCAAAAAATTCAATTATTTCAAAAAATTTTACTAAATTTCAATTATGTGGAATTTTTTCAACTAAAAATCCATTATCATTTGAAAAATTATATTTAAAAAATTCTTAAATACTAATTTACAAAATTTTTTGTTATTTTACGTTTTTTTAAAAAGAAAACAAAAATTAAATATAAATACAGTTGCAATTTTTTTATTTAAATAACAAATTTTTTATAAAAAATGCAACTGTAACTTTTGTTTTCTTTTTTAAAAAATGTAACAAAAAAAAATTTTAAATTAGAATTTAAGAATTTTTTAAAAATAATTCTTGAAAGAATAATTTCTTCAAAATTCTAGAAATTAATTGAATATATTGATAGAGTTATAGTAAAAGTTTTTAGAAATAATTAAATTCCAAAAGATTTTGAAATTGAAATTTTTGAAAATTTGAATGTTTAGTAAATTTTATAGTTCTAATTTTTTTTTAAATTGGTTAAAAATTTGTAAAAAAAAACAATCATTTTCAAAATTTTTCATTATATTTCTTCGAAAAATTGACTAATTTTTTTAAATTATCCAAAAATTCTTTAAAGAAATTTAATTATTGTTGAAAAATTGCTTTACAATATTTTAAAAAACTAAGAAAGTGAATAGAATTTTGCATCATAAATTTTTAAAATTTGAATTCATGTATTTTTTATATTTGTTATAATTAGAATTGTTTAGAAACTATATATTTTTTTCAATATTTTCGAAAAATTCTTTAAAGAAATTCAATTTCCAAAAAATTTTACAAATTTTCAATTATGTGGAAATTTTTCAATTATGAAAATTCTGTTCTCTTTCAACAATTATTTAAAAATATTCTTATAAAACTAATTTTTGTACATTAAATCAACTAAAACTATAGTTTTTTTAGTCGTATGATTTAATTTTTCGAAAACTACTTTCACAATGCTTTTCTCATTTTTTTAAAGTTATTTTTTGATACTTTCTTTAATTAATTAACGAGCGTGAAGACTGATATTGTTAGAGGAGAAAATATGAATTCAGAAACCGAATTACCATGTGAATGACAAACGAAACAAAGTTTTGATCTATTTAACAGGCGTGTGAATTTTCAAAAATGTTAAGGATAACTAAAATATAATCCTAAATAGTCTGGTATCCCAATTACAGTAGTCTTGATTAATTTGCCTCTTAGATGTCATCACTTCATAGTATTCATGGTCGGCAGAAAAAAACGAACCTCTAGATTTCTAAATCTCGTTAGTCATTCAGGAATTTGCAGCAGATTAAAAAAAAACTTTCCTCCATTCTCAAAAATTAGAATTATTTTTTAATTATAACTTTCAAAAAAATCAAATAATCAATATTTGAGTTTCAGTATTTTTTTTCCCTTAAATTTACTTCAAGTGAATCGACTCTTGAATTTTCCCTATGAGAGACGAAAGTTTTGGTATGAAGAAAAAGAAGAAGAAGAAGAAGAAGTAAAAAGAGCCAAAGGAAGAAGGGAAGCAGATAAAAGAGAGTGGATTGGAACGTAGTCCTTAGTGGCAGAAGCAGAACCAGGTGGGGAGTGCCCGCCACATATCCAGTTTAGGCACGCGCATAATTGGGCCCAAACTCGTTCAATCTGATTATTTCAATTCTTTGGACTTAATGGGCCCTAGAGGGCGCCAAACAGGATAAATTTATGCGATGTCGGCGAAAACTATATAGCTTTTAAAAGTGAGAGAGAAAGAAAGAGAAGGAAAGTCAATAGTTTAAATCTTATTCGAAAAATCCGCGTCAAATTCAATATATTTTCTTTTATATAACTCTATAAAGAATCTCTCGATTATTATAGATAATTATAGTCTACTTAATATTACTCTCTATTTTATTACAAAAGTATAAAAATTATTTAAATAATATATTATTAATAATATCCATTAAAAATATTAACTATTTAAAGTTGACTATTAACTTATTTTTATTTTTAAAGTTGATAATTTCGATAAAGGTGTTAATGGAAAGAAGAGAAATTCTAAAGTAATATTTTCCCCGAAAAAGGTAATGTGTAATGTTTTTATAATTTGTCGATATTTGATATTTTTTCTATACGATATTGATATTTTCTGATGATTGATATGAAAAGAAATGTATCCCTTTTTTTTGTTATTCTGTTGTAGAATTTTGATGGTTCGGGAAAATTGATTGAACTCTTTCAATGTATGAAATATGGGGGTTTTTTGTTGATTCAGAAAGAGCTTTTGAGATTCTTTCAATCTGTGTGCAATATCAAGGGGATGAGCAGATGGAGAAGCTGCGTGTCCGCCTTCATCGACGGATCTAAGATGACCACATTTATATAGTTTGAAATTGAACGCCAGTTAGTATTTAGTTTCAAAAGTAGATTTAATAACCGTTTTATTTTTTTTTATAAATTTAGTAACAAAAAATTTTATTTTTAGGTATTATTTTCAAACGTGAAAAAAAACCGCTAGAGGTAAGGTTTTCATTTTATATTTATTACTTTTGTTAATTGTGATACTTGTGCATATAATAAAATTCTTCTTTGATTTTATTATACAAAATTTACATTTAATTACAGGTTTTGTTTCCAACTTGTGTTATTGGTCCTGTACAAGAGCGAGAGATAATGGAGAAAGAAAAGAAGACTTTCAGATCTTGAAGATAACAAGGACATTGTCTAACATTGAAGGATGGTTGTTTTTAATCGCAAATCATTTGTGGGGTACCTGCTTCGTCCGGTTTTGTTGCTTCGAAATTTCTTCGATATATAAAAGGTACCAAATTTTCCACTTGAAAACAAGTAGATTATCTTGTTCAGGGTTGTCACAGATCAGGGAAAAATTGAGGAATTTTTTAAAAAAGTACTAAAAAAATGTTAAAGTTTTAGAATTATTCAAAAAAAAAATTTTTTATTTTAGCCTCAATCAACCTTTGATAATTAGTTAAATTATATAAAAATATATTTATTTAACTGAAAAATTTTTGAATAATCGAATTTTTGTAAAATTGAATTGAAAATAAGTGATTTACAGAATTATTTTTGCTAAACTTTTTGTTTTCTTTGAATAATAAATTGAATTTAGAGAAGAATTTTAATTGAAAATTCTAGAAAACAATTGAATTGACATCTTGAAAATAATTTTCGTGGAAAAATTATTAAAAATAATTAATTTTTAAAAGAATTTTAGTTTAAATTTCTAAAAATGAATTGAAATCATGAAAATGATTTTAGAGAAGATACAGTAGCAATTCTTTCATTGTATTTCAAACGCTTATCGTTTTTGTTTGCTTCTTTGTCTCCTGAATTTTTTCATAATTTTTCTTTTTAAATGTTTAGAATTTTAAAAATAATGTATTGAAAATAATTGAATTCTTGCGAAGTATTTATCAAAAAATTTGGAAATATGTAATTGAATTCTTATAAAGAATTGTATCAACGTTTTTGAAAATAATTAAATTCTTTCGACGAATTTTAAAAATCTTCTTAAAATAATTGAATTATTTAGAGGAATTTTATTTAAATTTAATTGAAAATAATTAAATTCCTGTGAAGAATTGTATTATTTATGGAAATAATTGAATTTTTGTAAATGATTTCACTAAAGTTCCTAAAATAATTGAATTCTTTCGTCAAATTTCATTAAAATTGTATTTAAAATAATTAAATTTCTGCAAAAAATAATTTAAATTTACAAAGAATTTTATGATAACTTTTGACAAGAATTGAATTCTTTCGAAAAATTTTTCAAAAATAATTGAATCCTTTCGTGAAATTTTATTGCAATTGTTTTGAAAATAGTTGAATTTCTGCGAAAAATTTTACTATTTACACAAATTATTTATACATTCTGAAGTATTCATAAAAAAGTTAAGGAAAAGCAAAATCAAATTCTTGTGACAACCTTGTTGTTGTTTTTAGTGTAAAATAATTATGATTATGTACTTAAAAATAATGCCAATTCGGAATATTTAACATTTTAATATCAATATATATTTAAATAATCTTAAGAATGTCTCAGAAAAGAATACATCGACAATCGACAAAAAATAGCCTAATGGAGAAAAAGGAAAAGATAAAAGAAAGCGAATACGGAAACAATAATGACAGGCAGGTGCATTTTGAAATATTTGTCATTATTATTTCTTCCGCAGATGTCACATTGTGCTCTAATTATGATTATACCCATCTTTCCAAATAGAATTTAACTTTCCATTGAAATTTTCTAAAAAGTAAACAAAACGAAAAATAAAGAAATGATAAATATAATTTTTTTTAAATAAAACTTTAAAAAAGAGTTATAAATAATAAATTAAAAGGAAATTTGAAAAAAGAACTTAAAAAGAATTATAAAAAAAATTTATAAAAAATAAAAATGCAAAGAAATAAAATAGAAATTCATAAGTTATTAAATAGAAATTATTAATCAAAATTCATAAGTTGTGTAGAAATTAAATAGATATAACGGTTTTGTAAATATTTGAGAATTAGAGTATACATTTTGTTAAATTGAATGAAATTCATGTGATCCTTTTTTTACTGAATTGACTGAAAATTTGTTTGATGTTATTCAAACGAGAAAAATATTTCTCAATGGGCTTTTTGGGGGGGCTTTAAGAGTACAATTTTAGACCCATTGTCGATTGTCATCTTCCCTTACCGTCAGCTGCCTATTCTCAAAAGGCGTGTAACTATTCTGTTGAATTTCCGTTTCAAGATCCTACAAGTTATAACCTGTCGCAGAATTGCTTCACTTCTTTTTTTTTCATTCAACACGCTATAACACACACTGCTTCATGAGTCATTCATTATTAAGTCTGTAAATATTCCGTCTGGCAATTTCTTTTTAAATTGGTTTTTTTTCTGCAAATTTTTTTTCTCCTATGACAAATTGTATATTTACAATTTCACAAGAATACGATTGTTTATTTAATTGCATACTTAATTTAAATATGTATTTATTTAAAATATTCTATTTATATATTTGTTTATATTTTATAATTTTAAGTATTTCTGAGGGGGTATTTCTTTAAATTTAATTTTTCTTTTGACAAGCTAAAATTCTCAACTTATTCAATGGTTATTTAAAATGAGATAAAGAAACTTTCGTATACTTGAGAATATTGGAGGAAGTAGAAAATAAATCTGAGGGTCATTTTCTTTTTTTAAAAAAAGCGATATAAGGAAATCTGTGTATTGTAAAATATAATGTAAAACTGCGGGAAGTTTGAGCTTCAATTATTGAAGAAATATTTTTGGGTACTAGACAGTTGACCATTGGAATTTTGGGTGCCATTGAAAGCGGTAGAGGACCACCTTTCAGATTTTCAAAGATGATACTTTTTAAGATTTATTCACTGTAGCACTGTACTTTCTGTTTTGTAGAGTGAAGGAATGCCTTTAGCAATACTACGCATGTGCCGGTTCATTCATGAATTCCATTCATATCTTTGGAACTTCAGGTTTTACTACTTACTCCATTTTGCCAGGTACATATTTTCCGTTTTTCACAAATTCTAACACAACTCAAAAGGAATCCCTTCTAATCTTACAATCGTCTATAGGAAGAATTTTTGAGGGGGAAAAAAATCCTTTTTTATTCTTCCAAAGCGAATTGTAAAAAAATTCTTTTAAAATAATTTCAACTCGTTTTTACCAGTTTTATTTAAAATCTAACGTCTGCTTGGTAATAAATAAATAATGAAATTGTTTACTATTTAAAATTTTATATTCGTCATTACTAGTTATTTTTTATCTCATTTTTGTTGCTTAATTTTAGAAGTTTTATTAGTGAATTTTATTAATTTTATTAATTTTATTAAATTTTGATCTTAAAATGCAAATTTGTTAGAGTTTAAAAAATCTTTGTTTATTTGTCGATTTCCTGTTATTAAAGTTTTCACTATTTTCAGATTTAGCAATTCTGTCAATTCAACATGAACTCCAGTCAACATGAAAACAAAAGTGATAAGATAAAAAAAATGATGTCATCTGTGATCAACGAGGGTTCTTGCATAATTAAGATTGATTGAGAATGAAATGAGAAAAGTTCTTCTGTAATTCTGAAAAGTTGGAATTTTGGAAGACGGCCAATATACATAGAGATCTTTTCTTCTCTTCACTTATAATTCCATTGAAATGGAAGAAAATCTTTATTATTTGAATCGGTAAGCTATGATTATTATTTTCTGTTATGCGCTTACTATGTGAGTTCATTATCATTTAATGTGTTTCGAAAATTATCTGTCTGCTCAGAAGTTTTAAACAATATCAAGACATTTCTCATGCGAACTTAATCTCTATTTGTAACAATGATATTCTGATAATATACTGTTTATTGTACAAACAATATTATTACCTTCGGGATAATAATCAAAGATATTTTGTCGTGGGAAATTGCATTTAATGTATAGTCACCCTTATAATATAGGGTAACTATTATTTTTAGTAATAAAAACAAGGGGATGACATGACAAAATTATTAAGGATAATATTCTTTTATATAGCAAATTTTATGAGCTATTTAATTTATTATTATTATGCAAATTTCAAATTTTTTTATTTTCAAAAATCAACTTCAATTTTTGAATGATTTTAGATTCAAAATTTAGAAAAATTCTTTTACTAACTAATTAATTAAATTATTATATTAATTTTTATAAATATTAATAAACTTCTTTGAAACAATTCAATAATAGAACTCTTCGCAAAAATTTAATTATTTTCAATATACAATTTCAATAAAATTTCTTAATGGAATTGAATTATTTTTAAAAAATTGGAATAAAATCCTTTGAAAGAATTAAATTCTTCTAAAAAATTTTGATACAATTTACTTTGAAAAAATCAATCATTTTCAGTACAATTTTAATCAAACTGTTCAAAAAAAATTTGTTTACTTTCAAGAATTTTAATAAAATTTTTCCCAAGAATTCATTTAATTTTAATAAATTAATATAATTCTTCACAGAATTTCAATTATTTAAAAGAATTTCAATAAAATTCTAATGGAAAATTAAATTATCTTTATAAATAATACAAAACTCTTTCTAATAAAATTCAATTATTTTCATAAATAATAAAATTCGTCTCAGGAATTCAATTATTTTAATAAATAATAAAATTCTTCAAAGAATTTCAATTCTTTAAAAGAATTTCAATAAAATTCTAGTTGAAAATTCAATTTTCTTCATAAATAATACAAAACTCTTTCTATAAATTCAATTATTTTCAAAACAGTTTTATACAATTCTTCGAGAAAATTCAATTCTTTTCATAAATAATAGAATACTTCTCAGGAATTCAATTATTTTTAAAAATTTTAATAAATTTCTTGGTAAGAATTCAATTATTTTAATAAATAATAAAATTCTTCAAAGAATTTCAATTATTTAAAAGAATTTCAATAAAATTCTAGTTGAAAATTCAATTTTCTTCATAAATAATACAAAACTCTTTCTATAAATGCAATTATTTTCAAAACAGAAGAATTACAATTCTTCGAGAAAATTCAATTCTTTTCATAAATTATAAAATTCTTCTCAGGAATTCAATTATTTTTAAAAATTTTAATAAAATTCTTGGTAAGAATTCAATTATTCTTATAAATAATGAAACTTACAGATGAAATGATTCAGAGGAATTCAATTCTTCTAAAAAATTTAGATACCATTTTTTTAGAAAAATTCAATTATTTTCAGTACAATTTTAATAAAATTTCTCGAAATAATTTGTTGATTTTCAAAAATTTTAATAAAATTTCTCCCAAGAATTCAATTATTTTCACAAATATTTGAATTTTTCGCAGAAATTCAATTATTTTTACAAATATTTTAATTTTTCGCAGGAATTCAATTATTTTCACAAATATTTGAATTCTTCGCAGGAATTCAATTATTTTCAATATCTACTATTTTATCAAATTATCTGCTATAAATTCAATTATTTAGAAAAATTTGGACAAAATTTTCCAAAAGAAATCAATTATTTTTAATAATTTTAATAAAATTTGTTTATATGAATTCAATTGCTTTCAATACAATTGTAATTAAATTCTTTGAAAGAATTCAAACATTTTCAAAATTTTTAATTAAAAATTCAATTTTTTTCAAAAATACTAAAGATTTTTCCTCAGGAATTCCAATATTAAAAATAAATTAATTTATATAATTTATATAATAAATAAATTTATAATTAATTAATATTTATATAATTAATTAATTAATTAATTAATTAATTTTATAATTAATTAATATTTTTTTATTTTTAATAAATTTATATAATTTATTTTTTATAATTTATATAATTAATTTATATATTTTAATTGTATTCCTAAGAAATTGAATTACATATTTTTATAAACTTTTAGAAAATTCATTAAAAGAATTTAATTCTTGTCAAAAATTTTAATAAACTAAAATTCTTTAGAAGAATTTAATTATTTTCCATAAGTATACAATTTTAATTAAATTCGTTGAAAGAATTTAAGTTTTTTTAGAATTGTTTTTTTTATTGTTTGCTACTGATTCGTTAATTTTTGCATTTTATTTAAAAAGAAAAATTACCAGAAAAATTATTTAATTAACTAGATTTTTTATTACAATTGAAGTTGAGTTGAAATTTTTTGTCTTGATTTGGTTTTAAGTTCTGAGCAAACATTTTTTTTCCTTCTAAAAGAAAGAATGATGTTTAAAGAATTTTTTTGTCGAAAAACTTGAAACGATTTTGCCTGTCAGTCCGGAAGTTTCGAGAGTGATTTAGAAAGATAAGAAGATTTTTCCTAGGGTTTACCTTTTGGAAATTAACTAAGTGGATTTTGAAGAAATGTTACGTGTTTGTAGAGATTTGAGATAAGGTATCTAGATTTATAGAGTCGTGAGAATATTTTAAAGGAAATTCCAAGGAGTCAATAGCTCTTCAAATTTTTCCAGTTTTAAAAAAAGTGAATTTTTTTTTCCATTTAAAGTTAATTTTTTCAAATTGAATGCCAAAATTTTTGAATGAAAATACTCTTTCACAATTTACTGCAATTTAGTGTCATAAATGGACAGCTGTAAAACAAGCGGAAGTTACATCCCAAAGAGGTGTCGAATTTATTGACAAGGATTCCGGATGCAGCTTTTATCGGTTGATCCAAAAAAAGAATGTAATTTTTCGGAAGTCGATGAAGAAGTTGTTTAAAGAAGTAATGAAAAATAATTTTTTTTTAGTGTAAATGTAAAGTGCGTTAAACCACTTAAGAAGGGATTTTTTTTCCTTAATCTTTTCAAACATAATTGACGTGTCGGCCGCACACGCGCCGAGAGGGAGAAATTAAAGAGTGGGGAGAGAGGCACGCACATGGCAGGGATGTAGTGGGAGCTCAGTTTCTTTGGCATTTGCTTTCGGTCTGTTGCAACGCACGAGTCGTATGTAGAGAACAGTCTTTTATCTTATCGTGTTATTAATTTTTGAATTTGTTTTGATAAACAAACAAAAACCAGTTGGCATTAGTGGCAAACGAAAAATTGCGCAAAAAGGATTTTATCTTCATTTTGACGAGAAAAAAAAGACATTTAAATTCTTTTGACTTGCGCAGTTTTACCACCAATTACAACCAATCGAAATTCAAGTTTCTAAAATTCCAAAAGACGTTATTTAATTTGCAATTTTAGTTTTAAACGTTAAAAAAATTTCATAACCTCAAAATAGTACTTAACCTTCAAAAATATTTGATACATTTTTGATATCAATAAAGGATTATTTACATATTCTCGTCAGTCACGTGGTTATAGAGGCGGTGAAACATTTTTTGTGTTTACAGGGGTGATGTTGTAAGTTATAAATTTATAACTTGGATGTTATAAAACGCATTTCGTTTGAATAAAGCCCATGGAAAGTGCTGCACGCTCTGTTTCACGACAAGTCACGCCTTTCTGAAGACGAGGCACTTAATTCAAAACAGGAGTCATTCTTCACTACCAAGAAAGTCAATTCACACGTGTTTTTTTCTCCTTCGGAGAGGATGGTGTCAATAGACTGATGTCGTGTCAACAATCAACAACAAATACTACATTCAAGTCATCAATTTGATAAATAAGGCAAATATTCCGTGTTTTTTCTCCGCAAAGTGAAGTGCAATGGATTCAAAGATGATAATGGAGATTTTTCTACTCATTTCATTATCCGGCGTGGTCTTCGCAAAAAGTGAGTCATTTTTCTTTTTATTATTTCTTCTCATTATGATTATTGTAAAAGCAATTCTTACAATAATCATAATTTCTTTTGTTTTGAGTAATTTTTGTTTTTTTAAAAATCTAACCACTTGAAATAATTGAAGATCACGAATCTTTGTTTTAGATTGTTTTTTAATAAACCCTTTCAGTCACACAGAGTTAATGATGCAATCTTTGTGATTATGTATTATTTTTTATAATTCACTGACATTGACACTATTTGTGACTGAGAAGTGTCAATTTCTTGTTTATTGTAAAAAATATGACGTGACAGAGATAATTAAGAATATTTAAACACTTTTTTTTCTTCATTATCAAACTATATTTATTATGACAAACAAGTGAATTTATTTTTAATTCCACTGATAATTATGATTATTATTATAGCTATAATATTATTATTATTATTATTATTATTATTATTATTATTATTATTATTATTGTAGCTATTTTAATTTAATTCACTGATAATTAAATATTTCGAATAGTTAACAATATTTTGTATATCAAAGTGCTAAAAGTACTCTTCGGAAAGTATAATATACAATATTAAGAAACTGGAGAAGCAATTAGCGAATTCTTGAAATATTTTACTGTTATTTTGGCAAAACTTTTAAGAAGTTGAAAATCAGTAATACATTGATCAAACAATTTTTATTTATAGAATAACACAGACACGAATACTAGAATTTCTGTTCTCGGTATACAATTTACTTGCGGATTTATTATTGTTGAAAACTTGAAATGTTGTTAAAAGTCGTCTTTTATCTTGTCAAGATGTAATCTCAGTTAATGGAACTTTTATCCATTTATCAAATCTCGCACTTGTAGTCGCATATTGGTTTGTCTGAAACCAATTTTTGTTTGTTTTCGTTAGTCCCTTACGTTTCTATTGTCCACAATTTGTTTTTGTTTTTATCATTAAGATATTTTCGATAATTTCCATTTTTTTAGTAAAAATAGTTTTATTCATTGATTAGATTTCTTATCATTCGATCACGAAGATTGCGTAGAATTTTCCAACTTGTTTATAATTTTAAACTTTTAGCTAACAAGATAAATTATTAAAGTTAGTAAATTTTGCCGCAGAGAAATATGGAACAAATTTTCTGAAGTTAAAAATTCTTTCGCTTGAAATCGAGATATTTTTTTACATAATTCATCATGATTTCAGAGTTTTCCAATGAAGGAGAGTCGAGGAAAGATTTTAAAAAGTCCAAATAGTTGGAGACTTACTTTTAAATTCATATCGCGTAAAACTGTGCGCGCAATTCGGAGAAGAGAATCCAAAAAGATGATTTGTTTCTTTTTTTCGAGAAATATATATATTTATGAGTTGAAATTCTCTTAAGAGGTGAACTACTGGCGAAAAATCTTAATTAGGTCAAATTGTTGAAAAATCTTCTTTTCGGTTTTTGGAAGAATCGAATTAAAATTCCTTCCTGGTGTTAGTATATCTACTTTCTGAGTTTATACGTTTCCCATATGTATTTTTATACACGAAGACAATTTTTTTCAACCAGTTAATTTGGAAAGTGTTACGTCTAATTATATACACTCGTCCAAAATGCGCTTCATCTAATCATAGAGTCGTGTGACCGGATGTCGGACAAGATCCAATAGAAATGTGTGGCCTCTTTAAGATTAATAAATTCGTTTTATAATTTTCGATTATTTCCAAAGCAATTCATTATTTTCAAAAGCAATTAAGTAATCGTGAACAGTCACTAAATCCTCATTAGTAAATTAAAACTCCTTAATTCGTACGATTAGATTTTAAATTATTTCTAGAGAAGAATCCCGGTTTCAATATTAAAAATTATAAAATTCAAAACTTGCAAATATTTCAAGCACCATTAAAATGTTTTAATTTTTTTCTGAAATATTACTGAACTGTAATTTGAAATCTCTCACGTTTAATTTAATTTAGAGAATTCTTCGCTCGCAGCTGCAGCACTCTCGTTCTTATATCTATTAAACTATTTTTCCGACCTCCTACCTTTCAAGTTCCTCGCATACATTCATGTACATAAATTGAAATTTTCTCATTCAATTATATCCCCCTTTAGGCGATTTCGTTAAAATATATTTAAAATTAAACGAGAATTTTTTTCACAAAAATTCTTCAAAAATTGTTTAATAAAACAAATTCTTGCATATTCAAAAGTTGCGACAGGTCCAGGGAATTCAAAATTTCAATTATTTTCAAAAATTTTTCTCAATTCAATGATTTTCAATTCAGTTATTTTCAAATTTTAATAGAATTTTTTCCAAGAATTCAATTATTATCATAAATAATAAAATTCTTTTTAGGAATTCAATTATTTTAATAAATAATAAAGTTCTCAAGGAATTTTTGCAAAAAGTATTAAAAATGATTGCTAATAGAGTTCTTTCGAAGAATTTTAATAACATTTTTGAAAATAATTACATTTTTCGAAGAATTTACTTAAAATTGTATTGAAAATAATTGAAATACTCCGAAGAATTTTATTATTTAGGAGAATAATTGAATTTTTGCAAAAAATTTATAAAAATAATTACATTTTTCGAGAAAATTATTTAAAATTGTGTTAAAAATAATTGAAATACTGTGAAGAATTTTATTTTTTAGGAGAATAATTGAATTCTTACAATGAATTTTTATTACATTTTTTTTTAATAATTGAAATCTTGTGAAGAATATTATTACTTATGAAAATAATTGAATTCTTGCAACAAATTTTATTAATTTTTTTTTTTAAATAATTGAAATCCTGTAAAAAATTGTATTATTTTTTAAAATAATTGAATTCTTGAAACGAATTTTATTACATTTTTTTTAAATAATTGAATTCTTTTCAGAAATTTTAATAAAATAGTAGATTTTGAAAATATTTAAATTTCAGTGAAGAATTTCATTATTTGTGAAATGTAATTGAATTCTTGCAAAATTTTTTGATATTAATTACATTTTTTAACGAATTTACTTAAAATTTTATTAATAATAATTTAAATCCTATGAAAAATTTTATTATTTATTAAAATAATTGAATTCTTGCAACAAATTTTATTATTTCTTTTTTAAATAATTGAATTCATTTGAAAAATTCTATTACTTGTAAAAATAATTGAATTCTTGCGAAGGATTTTATTAAAATTTTTGTAAATAATTTAATTTTTTTTTGAAAAATTTTATGGAAATTTAAATTATTGTAAAACAAGAAGAAATTGATCACTCCGAGTCTTTTATAATAAATATTCTTATAATTTATCGAATTTTATAAAGGATTGAATTTGAAATTTTTTGAAAATCTTAATCCCTATCAATAATAATAATGATTCAATATTTATTTAAAAAAGAATTTATTGAAATTTTCGATTTTTTGAATAATTTTACTTTTGAATAAATTTGTTAATAAATGTAATAGAACAGTTTTATGAGTGTCTAATAATTTTTAGAGTGAATCAAAATATTATTCTTTAAGGTTTAGGGAAAAAGTCAAAATATTGACTGGCAATCAGGGAAAAGTCAGAGAAAAACAAAATTCAATTTTTATCGCAACCTTGATATGATTGATTAGATTTTGAAAAAATCATTAATTTTGACATTGCGTTAATCTTCTTCAGAACTTGGGGGGGAGGGAGATTCCCAATTCTCTTTGCAATGAAAAGTCATCACACGCACTTACTTCTTTCACTATCGTTGCAATGATCCAGTCGTAAATCTTGGATAGCAACGAAAAAATGTTTTACGCCAACGCCCGCTTTCACGATGATACTAATGGTCAAAGAATATATCGTGGGTAGAACTGTGAAATTTTTCTCAGGAATTTCGCACCGATTCAATATAATATCATCGAATCGACAAGATTCATCGTTCGACGACAAATAAAAATTTAATGTATGCATAAAATCATAGAGTTTGTTTTTTAAAACTTTATTATACTCCAAAAGGTATAGTTTTTTATTTCGCATTTTTATTTTTTCTTTCAATGTAGATTCAATAATTTATCATTCGACGATTTTTTATTTGTAATAATTTATTACAATTTTAATTCTCTCATATTTTTTTTTTTGAGCAAATCAGCAGAAATGTTAATTTATAATATAGGATATAAATTCTATTTCTATAGACCTGTGATCAGCTTATATTCTCTTATCTTTTGAGAAACGATAAAAAAGTGTGTTCAAATTTTTGAAAACAAGGCCTCAACGTCCATTTATTTTCAAAGACAGAGAAATCACATTAAGATTTTCAAGTTTCTTCGCTTAGCTATGTGTATTCTATTAATTCTCTTTTAAGAGTTTCAGGGGAAAAAAATACATATATATCTTTCGACAAGGTGTTTTTTAAGCCGTTCTGGATAACGCTGCTGATACGATTGATCGTTTTGATTATTTAATCCAAAAAAGAACCATAGAGGAATTTATGTCTAGCAAATATTTGTCAAGATTGTCCGCACCTTATTAAGATAGTCAAAAAATTCGTTTCACTGTTGTTATGGTGTTTCTATCTTTTACTATGCACTAAAAAGTTTCAAACTTAAATCTTCAAATCTTCGTTTAAATTCAGGTAGAAATCTTTTCAGAGTCAGAGTATTGCAAACGTATAGAGATCTTGTAATCTGCGATGTTTAATCCTTAATAGTTCTTTTTTTTCTGATCGAAAATATTTTTTTTCGAAAGTTTTCTTATTTTGAAGTATTTTTTATTTTCTTTTCTTTTCATTCGTGTTATCGTTATGTATTAAATTCTTCTCTCGAGTTATTGGATCAATTCGATTATTTGGTTTTCTATTTGGAAATTTTTCAAGTTTTTTTTTTTTAAAAGGTGTATGCGAGACAAGTTTTCTTATATGAAGATGTTTAGCATAGAGAAAATCTGCTTCTGTCACCTCGTTGACAGTATTATTCTGACTGTGACAATAAGCCGAAAGAAACTTGAAACGCAGCAGCAGGCGTGCGCGCGTACACCTAATAACCTTTGCGG